ATGTCTTTTACATCCATCTGTCGTGCATGTTCTGCTCTACATTTCCATGCCTTTGTTTGGGTCTGTGTGCGCCTGTTTTCCTGGATGTGTTTGTGTGTTTTGTGGAGTGCGTGTGTGTGTGTTCGGGTCTATGCCACAAGCTGCCAATGGGCACAAGCTGCAAAGCCACACAAAGCTGGCAACACTGGGGTTTTGGATGGTGCTCATCAGCGTTGGTTTCCCATGATGATACTCCAAGCCCACATCCAACACCCTGCCATTTAACTGTAGCTGCCTCTGTCTATGCTCCTCTCTCTAGACTGAATCCTGCTAGAGATTCACAATCTGTACTGTAGTCAGCGTAAACAACACAGTAGGGTAGAGATTCAGCCTGCCATGTCCCGTTAAATGTCCCAATTAGAGTCGCAGCAACCATTTTCCCTCAAGCCACGGCCTGATTTCTTCTGGTCAGACACGTAGCAGAGGGAAACTGTCAGACAGAGCAACAGCTTGCGAGCGATCGTCTGAAGAAGGAGTTTGCGCATATGTGTGTCAGGGTTAACGGTGCATTTAATGAAAAATATATGGCCAGCTGCCAACTGGATAAATGACTCCAGTATCCAGTGTAATGGTATGCATTATCCATGCATGAATGCATTTACGTGGGTTGGTTTGACTCTTACAAGGACAGGGTTACGGGTGTCAAAGATGGTATGCATTACCCATGCATATGTGTGCGTGTGTGTGGAGGGGGTTAGGGGTGTTTTTGATCATGACTGAACTCATGGCCATCTAGCAACATCCCAGACAATACCCTCCACCATAACTTGCTAACAAGAGGAATTCTTTGACCATCACCACAGGGCACATTCTTTCAGAGTATGTCACCGTGGTAACAACGGCAGCTCTGGGATGGCAGGAGATTGGCCCGGTGGGGTTTTTAAGTTGCAAGCCACCCCGCAGAGCGCCTGTCAAAAGCCAGTTCCTATAAGAGGAGGGGTGGACGGGATGTAACCTCCTAAAACCCTGCTGTCACTTTATTTTGAGCAAAAAACAATAGCGAAGACAGATGTCACTGTTTGCAACTGCTAACACACACATATATACAAAGGCTTCGTGTAAGAATGTTAATAGTTTTTACCCACTGATAAAACGGTGCATGAATATTCACAGACACTCATAAATGGGCCCACACCTATTCAATAAGTTTGTAAAAAGTATATGAAAAATGTGTATAAAACAGGCACATATTGGTTAAATTTCTTGTAAATTGAGAATGCAGCGTCAAAGTGAAGCTGAGCACTGCTTTCCTGGATGAATTTGTACTCTAGTGACTCACACCAATCAATCAAGACTGATTTCTCCACTTCAGTGTGCTTCCAAGAAAAAAAATAAAATAATAACAAGCTTACTCAGTTGTGAGAGACGACAGACTTGTCACGATACTAAACATCTGGTCCTTGAGTTTTCAGGAGTATTTTTTCCGTGCATACTAATAAAACATTCTCAAAAACTTCCACTGAGTAGATTTAAGACCTTGTGTTTTGCATGTGTTGGTATGTCAACATGTGTTTATGTTGGTGGGTATGATTAAAAATCCTGAGTCATGAGCCGTGAAGACAAAGATGTGCACTGACTGAGAATGCCATGAATATGAGTGTCGATTTTTTGGTGTAAAAAGAAGAAGAAAAAAAAAGACAATTTGTGAGTCAAAAAATGAGAAAAACAAGAGAAAATGTGCAGATAATGAGTGAGTGTGTGTCTGAGAGCGCAATGAATCATACAGTGAGTGAGGGAGCCATTGAGAGTGTGGATATCCTAAGTGAGGAGTACAAAGTCACAAATACCCGCTTTTCCACTACTGGGCATATTGTCTTTCACAGCAGTCACGCAGACAGCAAGCCTCTGACCCTGACACAGAATGTAAACAACTGACCCACTCTGCCAGACCACTATACGTGTGATAGTAACTCTAGTGCCAGACACACACACACACACACACAATCACATGACGGCTCCACACGACAAGATTGCAGCCCACTTATTATAACCTTGCTGACTGGCAGACAGACAGTCCTCGTCTCTTTATCTCCAACTCTATAAACCTTCTCTCCACAGCGCCAAGGAGTCAGGCAGTCTCAATTGAATAAACTCTCAGCCTTACCCACTTAAGTAAATAGAACACCACAACAGAGAGAAACAGGAGACAGAGTGGAGGAATGTTGATTTGTGCTCCGTAAAACTCCTATTGACCTGCTATAGCTGTTCATCCACTCCTCTGGTGAGCATTGGGTACAGAAAGTATATTAAATCAAATGTTCCAACACTGCATGCTCCACACATTTTGTTCTTGTGTTTAACAAATTCCCAGCAGACTACAAGTTCAGTGAAAGACCCAAGGAAGATGCTGAAATGGATCATGTCGGCTGATTGATAACCATCTGTTATGGATCACTGCTTATAGAACACAGCAGACATTCTTGTTTCACTGTGATAAGACACACAGCAGAGAATATCAAACTTAAAGAGGCTTTATGCAATAAGGAGCACAGTTTTTCATACTGTAGGTGCCACAACTTAAAGTGTGACATATGACTTACTTCTTCTGAGTACAGAGGTTGGAGACATTTCTACTTCAGCTAAAAACATTATTTGTTGCTCACTATCCTTTACCAGTTGTCTACTGAGAGAAAGGAAGGGGGAGAACAACTGTCGGTGCACCAGATTTACCAGCAATACCACATACTGTTAGCTGGTGGTAGTAAGTTAAGAAAAGAAGAAGCTTGACTTGCAGGTTTCACAAAATTTCCAAACAGTTAAAACTTTGTAAATGTTTTATGGGGTAGGAAATGCATTCAAGATGTTTGGTAGGCCTTAAAGCTGCATTCTAAAGAGAAATATAAACAAAATCATGTTTACAGTAAAACCACACCATATATATTTATACATGAGGCATATCAACTTCTTAGACTACATAACATTCAAACAATACTTAATCTGATTAATCTAGGGGGAAAAACTAACAAAAACAAAACAGAAACACAATGTCTAAAAAGTTTCTTTCAGCCAGAGTTCTGACAGGAACAAGCAGGAGAGATCATGTTTCTCCCATATTAGCATCTCTTCATTGGCTCACTGTAAAATACTGAATAGAAATTCAAAATCCTCATCACATACAAAGTCTTTAGTCATAGTACCATATCATCACAGTGGAACACTTGTATCTAAGAGTGTAGGCTTAGAGGAGGTAGACACCTTCTCTGCGTTTAAATATGTCTATATATATCTAGGGCTGGCAGGTAACAATGAACCATCAATTAGTAATGCCGCTATAGGCTTAGGGGGGACATCCCATGATGCACTGAGCATCTTTCCTCTCTTCTTCTTCTCTCTCCATACACTTAGGTGCCACCATTACATGTCATTAACTGTGCTTCTTCTCTGTCCCTGCACCTTTCTGCAGGTTTCTCTGGCTCCAGAGTTGCAAGTTTATGATCTGTGGTTACTGGTCCCACCTTCCTGCCCACTGTTTATTGTTACTCAAATGCTCATCTATTCTCTTTGTGTCTGTCTTTATAAATACCTTATGGTCTTTATGTTGGTATGCAAAGTGCCTTGAGATGTCTAATGATGATTGATGATTATAATTTGGTGCTATGTGAAAAAACTGAAGTGATCTTTTTCTATTTTGGTGGTCAAAATATAAACTGGTCATTCCTGCTGTACCTCAATCAAATCAAAGTGTATGGCCAATATTGTGGTGTCTTTTTCATTCATTCACATTCATAAGAACCTAAACTGTATGTGGTGCTGTTTACTGTATCTGTTTACCCATTGTGGCTGTTGCTGCTCAATTCTAACTGTCCGGCTTATTTAAGTGTTGCCAAAAGTCAAATAAAGTGACCCTTATTTATTTAGCACCTTTAAAAACAACAGAATTTCACCCAAAGTGCTTTCCAGTCTCAAACAACAGCTATTGCTTCTGGTGAAAGTAACACACATGTTTAAAAAGTGTTACGTCCTGGGTGTCAGAAGATTCTCAGTGAGTAAATATAAACACTTAAATATAGGATAAATAAACTGCATCACTACAGTATAGTAGAATAATCACAGATGACACAATGAAGACCTCTATGAGTTGCACGACCTCATGCATCAATCAAACCCAACTACACAATCTCACTAAATCTGCAGACAGAATGCTTTTTCCAATCATTGGAAAGCTGATTTGTTTTAAGCCACCTGAAGCTGACTCCTCTGTCCACCCTGGGGAGGTTTCCAGCCCTCTCTGCCTCCTCACAACAATATAGGGAATGCATGAAGAGGTGCCTTTGTTCACCGTGAAGAATGCTCATCTCACTTATCCTCTCCTCTCCTTTCTCTCTCTCCCCCTCGACAAGCCAGTTTGGAATGTGATGGTTTTAGCGTACACCGTGAGCTCTACCCAAATTGTCACCAGACCATGTATCTTTCTTTCCATCTTAAAAGTCCGCTGAAAGCTGACAACCAATGAGCGTGTGCATGTCTGCTGCGTGCTCACGTGTGCACAGACAACTTTACAGAAGAGCTTCTTATGGGCAGCTGTAATGGACAGACTGTTTGTGACTGCCTACTTGAGAAAACACTCAGCGTACTTCAACCGGAGCCACAGCAGTCCAGGATGAAATACAGCGCACACAAACATATACAAAACCACATCCTAACATCTACTACACATACTGCTTTAAACAAGCACAGACGTACATTCTGTACAAAAACACACCACTGCTGACACAACCAAGGTCACGCTCAGGCACATTTAAACTGCAGAGAATATATGAGAAAGGTAGGTGAATATAAATGACTTTCAGACAGAAGGTGTGTCGATTTAATTGACAGATTGCAACTAAAAATTATAAGTAATCACCATGTGTCCAACAGGCTGTATGGAAAAAGTTTTCACTGCTGTTATTTTTGAGAATATAAAAAGAAAACACACAATACCAAACAGGGACACTTGAAATCTTTTTAAAGAACTTTACCTTTCTGAGCTGGGTGAGCCCTGATGAAGTGCTCTCGGAGTAGTTTCTCATTTTGCAAAACCTGACCCCGTAGAAGACAGCATCCACTTGCATGATTCCTTTCCTTCAGATTAGTTTGTCTTATAGCCTCTCTCTCCCTTAGTTTTGTGCACCCCTACCCCTGCCTCTGACTTCTCTCACTTTGCATTGCTCCTGCCAGTACCTCCCACATATGCACACAGAGAAAGACACAACTCCGTGCGCACGAAAAGTTTGAAAAAGGCACAAAGTCAGGGATATCCCTCCTCCCGTCCAGCCTCCGGGCTAAAATGTTTACAGCTCTTTCTCCAGCTCTCAAACACACACTCTCTGACTCACCGCTATCTCTCAGTGACACTGACTCCTCTTTCTCTCTCCCTTTCTCAAAACTTTTCCCACCCCTCCTTCCCTTAAGCCACCCCCCATCCCCTTCTCCCTTCCTCCCTCCCTCCCTCCCTCTCCCGTCTCTCTCTCTCTCCTCCCTCTCCATTTTCCATCATCGCCCCCCTCCACATCCCCTCCCACCCACCTAAACCCCCCACTGCTGAACTAATCTGCAGCTGGCTGGGCGATTGGAGCCCTAGTTGCTGGGGAAACCAAGTGTCCTGCTCAAAAAAAAAAAAAAATGGAGGAATGGAGCAGGAAGGGGCAAAGCTGAGCACAACTGAATACATAAATAAAAGCCTCCACTGGGAGCCAATTAAAGAAGCCCAAGGGCCACTCTTCCTATCTCACCGAGGGGACAACATGTTCATCTATTTTATCTCTTGAAGATTTTGTTGACGGATTCACATGTCCCAAACAGCAGCAACAACAACAACAACCACAAGTAGTGTAGAAGAATAAGTAGTGTGTGCTAAATGCTGCTTGTGGTGAGACTTCAGACAGAGAATGGTTTGGCAGCACTTGAGTTGATTACTACTGACTTCTCCTCAGTCAGAAAATACAAACCGGAGAGTGCAGCTCACCGTCAGGCCAAGGGCTGCAGAGAAACTCAAAAGGTCCAGTGGAAAGAGCGGAAAAAGAAAGTGAGAGAGCAGGAAACAAGACTGGACAAGCATACTGATGACCAGCGTGATTAACAATTAACCTGTTCAACCCCACAGGCTCGCTTTGCTAAGTCTATTATTGGAAACATGTGCAAACAAAGAGCCTACAATCTATTTTTTTGTATTTATTTATAGGAATATAGTTGTCAAATAAAGCCTAAGACATTCTGACATTTCCATTTGATGACAGAGTACACTCACCAAAGTGGCATCTTACATTTAATATTTCAGCCAATCAAAGCACTGTGCTGTAAAGTAGCTTCAGGGAAACAGGGCAAACTATTTTGTCAGTAATTATTTTCATTAGATCTTTTAAGAAAAAAGCCCAAACATTCTCTAGTTTAGGCTTCTCAGTTTAGGAATTTGCTGAATTTCTTTGTCGTGTGTCATAAAATAAAATAAAATCTCTGTTTTTTTAACTTAAAGTTCTACAAATCTAGGCTCTTGAGGCTGTCATATTAAACACTAGTGAATCATCATGGACATTTCTTACTATTCTTTAAAACTTTAAAACCAAATAATCACTCAGTTAATTAAGAAACGAATCAGGAGCTGAATCAATAATACGCATTAATTACAGACTGAATTGGAATCCGCCCACAGCATCATGAACACTTACACAGTCTAATTCAATTTAATACAATAGCCATCTAATTCATACTACCTTGGTTACCTGTGTGTATTTATATTGTGTAAACCCCATGTTGATGTTAAAAAATGTTTTCTTCTTGACCTGCCACTCTAGAGTAAGAGGAAGTGGAAACAATGTGGTTGGATGTTTTGATTTTGTTCAGTTTCAGAACTGTAAAACAACATACAAAAACACGTGAAAGGCTTCATTCCAATAGTCACTTCATTGAGCACCCTTCATAAAATGTCTACCGGCCTCACCTCGGCAGAGCAACTATTCTGCTGACCTCTGAGCCTCAACCCTGACCTCTCCTTTGAAATGCAAGAGAGATCTAAAAAGCCTGGCTTGTCCATCAATGGCTGTGGGGGGATCAGGGTGGGAGGTGGAGGCAAGTAACATCTGCTTTGCGTTTATCCCACCTTATTGTATTGCTGAGTCCTCTATCAGGCCTACAGCTGGGATCCTGGGAGCGCACTGAGCCCACTGTCCAGGGGACTCACACCGTGACTGGGAACATGGCTCGGACAAGTTCTCAGTCCTTGATGGTGCACAGTAGGCTGTTTGCAAGGCCTATGGTTTAAGCAGAGGAAATGACAATGCATCACACCCAGGGTGTGTTTTGTTCCCTTCCTCCCCCTTTCCTTTATGACCAAGTAACTGCTTTTGCTGGCATAATGCTACAGAAAAATAATAAAACAGCACCTGAGAAATCTCTTGGGAGCCTTGTTCAGGAAAACACAGAATGTCCTATGTGGAAGTCGTTTATGATGCTGCTTTAATTAATGTCCAGAACGCACTTTGTTCTCTGCCGACTGGCGTTGCCATCAACAACTTAGAAATCGTCAGCTAGAAACACTTGTCTTTGCTAACTCTTTCTTTTCTTTTGCCTCTTGAAGCTGAAACATTTGTCAAATTATCACTTACTCAACAGACATAAAACTACTGAAAGCAAATTTGATTATCAATAGATTAAAAGTGCCAAATACAATCCGTGTCATCTTTGGTTACAGATTCTGAAATGTGAAGATATGTTGCCTTTCTTTGTCTTCTTTTCTACAAATTGAACACCTTTGATTTCTTCACGTTATTTAAATAAACCTAATAATTCTTAGATGTCATACTGGGTTTGGGAAACTGTGATGTTTCACAATTTCTTGACATTTTAGAGATCAAAAGTTGCAGCCTTCATGCATTGAGCTGCGTCCTCTCTTTAATCCTCCTTAGTTTCCCCAAAAGTCTCAGATAAGCCACTTGAGCACACATAATAAGGGTCCTAAAACACACATGTTTATACTTTCATTACTTGTTCCCTGTTCCTCTTTGTTACTCCTGTAAAGTAGTGAACATAAGTTTGGAAAAGTGTTGTACAAAAACTTTGCTTGCTTTCTTTTGTAATAGTAAATTTATCCTTTCGATTTTTTATTTTTTATTTTTATTTTAATTTTTTTTAGCATTATAGACTTTTAGGCAATTTGATCATTTTAATTGTAGTCAACAAGATTTGTAGGACAAAAGAGATCGTTTTTAATATAATTACAGGAAAAATAACAAAATTGTAAATCTATTGTTTAATTACTGCTAATAACTGCAAGGAAAGCTGCATTTCACTGTAGTGAGCCAGGTGTAGGTTCTTCAGCTCTTAAGTTAAGAGTATTCCTCCTGTTCCACGTGTATTTATTCTGCAGTAAGTCAAAAAAATCTGCTGTGAAAAGGGAAAACAACCCAACAACTGTCTCAGTAACTGTTTTACTTTTGCATCCTTCTTTCCTGCCTCAGTCCTGGCAGGAGGCGAATTTAGCCTGACTGGAATAAGGTGTTCAATGTCGCCATCTGTGGGCCAGTCGACGTCTGTGCAGTAACTTTAACCAGCCTTAATTTTCATCAATTATTGCTTGTATTTAGTATTTTATACATACCTTGTTGTAAGAAACGTCTTCAATACACTCCGTGTGCTTCGTCGGTTGGTAATTTGAGACGTTGGCTGTTAAATTAGTTTGAAAAAAACTGCTCGATTTGCTTCAATTCTTGCGCAGAAATACGACACAAGACGGACACAACAAATATGAGCTGAAGAAACATACAAAAGAACGTACAAAATGTCACGACATTGATTAATATTGAACCGATACAAGTTTTTTTTTCTCATTTTGTTTACGCGCACCTTCAAGACGCAGCCACGTGACCTCTTCAGCGCATACCCGGAAGTAGGTAGTTGGTGCCATAGATATGTTAGTGCAATGTTTTCATAAGTGTTGTGTTTTCAATGGCAATGGATGATATTTTGGGCTTCGGACAGTAACGTCAGCTGGTCCACAGTGAGAAAGGCAGCATTTCGGTTTCCTCTCGTCCACAAGAAGATGCTATAACTTCCCAAGGAGCATAGGTTAAGGTAATTCACGAACCTGTAGAAAAATAGATTCGATATTTGATGTAGTATTCATCCAGGTTGCATCTTTCTGTTAATCCGCGCCATAAACTCGCGGATATTTACGTGCAGACCACAGATTTTTTCTGAGTTTGGCGTCATCTCTTTCTAATAATTCTGCGAAAGAGTGTTTCGCACTATAAGACAAGCACATGTGGACCACGTCACCTCCTGCGCTGACTGAGATAACAGACACTTTGACATGATGACCACGATGGTCTTTGCAGCAAGAGGAGTCTTTCTCAACTTGAGGTACACCTTCCAGAAAGCAGGCTCCTTCGCCAGAATCAGACTCACCCAGAGCTCCAGGGAATGTTTATTTAAAAGAGGCCAGATTTTCGCTCACATACCCAAGGTTACGCTGTTATGCTGGGGTGCAGTCAGTGTGTCATCATGCAAAGCCAGATGTCAGGAAGCAACTCTTCCATCCCAGGTTTCTGACAGAAAATCTCTTGCCAAACTCCAAGTGCACAAAGTTATATTTTTTCTGCGCCTCAGCCTCCGGGCTTTAATTCTGTTCCTCAAATTTGGTCCCCTCCTTCTCCTTTCCCCCTTGACTCTGGTGTCGACCCGTTGGGCGTCTTGCTGGCTGGGTGCTCTGCTGTGGGTGACTGAAACCTCCGGTCCTACTTTCATCAAGCTGGGGCAGTGGGCCAGCACCAGGCGAGACATCTTCTCTCAAGAGTTTTGCGAACGCTTCTCTAGGCTCCACGTCAAGGTGCGTCCTCACTCCTGGGCCCACACCAAGCAGTGTCTGCGGAGGGCTTTTGGGGAGGGCTGGAAAAGGGTTTTGGTGTTCGACAGCAAAGAGCCAGTGGGCTCAGGATGCGTGGCCCAGGTGTACCGAGGATGGGCCAGGGTGGACCAGGTGGAAGACCCGGCTTTCCAGTCACTGGTGGAGGAGATGGAGAAAGAAGACTTGCTGGAAGCCTGGGAGATCCCTGGTCTAGGAGGTGTGGCGAGGACTCTGCGGAAACTTTGGAGGGGGAGCAAAGAGGAGGACGAACATGAGGAGAGACATCCTCTAGAGGGTCAACATGAGGAGAGCAGCACAGAGAAGGAGCACCTGATACCTGTAGCTATCAAGGTCAGTCTCACCATTGCAAAATAGCTTGTTTTACCCCTCACAAGCCTCACATTGCCACCGTGAATTGTATGTTAACTAGAGCTCGCTGAAATATCCTTTTCACATTTGCAGCAGATGTTAATAAATCGTTTTTGTGCTTTTCAGGTGGTCCATCCAGGCGTCAGGAGGCAGGTGGAAATGGATTTATTACTTATGAAAGCAGGCAGTTGGCTTCTGCACTGCCTGCCGGGACTCAAATGGCTCAGTATGGTGGAGATAGTCGAGGAGTTTGAGAAGCTCATGACCAAACAGGTACAGTAAGAATATTCTTTTGCATTCAAATTTTGAAAGTTGTGTGACTTTGTACAAATTGTATTTGTTAAATTTCAAGGAAGCTGTTTTGTCTTACTTTTTTGTATGAAGACAGGTGAAACTTTAGGAGAACATAAAACAAAAAAACCTAAATAATTAAGCTCCCTACTTTAACAGAGACTGAATTGCACTTCTAGCATACATAGAAATAGTCGCACAGAAAAGGTGCTATAACTACTTTAAGTGAACTGACTCAACATTTCTTCCAGATTGATCTCCGTTTTGAGGCGAGGAACATCGAGCGTTTCCGGGAAAATTTCCGTGATGTTGAATATGTCAAGTTCCCGACTCCGTTACGCCCGTTTGTCACAAGGTCCATCTTAGTGGAAACTTTTGAAGTGAGTACAAAATGAACTGAAGACTACTGAAGTCATCATTGTAGTTGAACTTTTATGTTTCTCCAAAGTGAGCCTGACATTGTTGCGTTGATATTCAGCCTTGTGTTTTGTTTTTGTTTTTTTCAGGAGAGTGAGCCCATTTCTAACTACCTGAACTCTGAGATTCCAAAGGAGGTGAAGCAGAGAATCGCCAGGATTGGAGCAGACACCCTGCTGAAAATGGTGAGATACGTAATCAACAATCAGTGACAAAAATCATTACCATTACTGTCTCTCTGCATTTGTTTATGTGACTCTTCTGCATTTATAAAAGGAAATTGGGATTTTTTTGTAATATACTTCAGAAGACATTTTCATTCAACTAAATGTTGTGACATTATTAGATCCTCCTTCATGCCTTTGCACATTTATCTACATGTATCCATCTTTCAGGTTTTTGTGGATAACTTTGTCCATGGAGATCTCCATCCTGGCAACATTCTCGTCCAGCGTCTGGGGCCTCAACCTGGTTCCAGTGAAGGTGCTGGTGTCTCGGGGGAGCAGCATGGGAAGACCACCCTCACCGACTTGTGGGACACAGTGGTAGTTAGTATCAGACCAGACCCATGTCCTTTCCAGCTGGTGCTGCTGGACGCCGGTATTGTAGCCCAGCTCAGCGACCGCGACCTCGCCAACTTCAGGGCCGTCTTCACAGCTGTGGTGCTGCATCAGGTAAGAACGGAAAGACTGTCTGCATAGTTTCCATTGTTGATCAATAGTGGTTTGATAGCTTTAGAGGGCAGAGATTTGCACAGTGTGTTTTTGATGTATTAGTTGTTTGTGTGTGCAATGGTGAATGGTCTGGATTACTTGAAAATTAGAACAAAATGTTTGTTTGGTGTTAAACAACTGGTAGTGGTTTCGTTTAATTTAATGAAATATGTTGTTTAATGAGGTGGCACAGTGGCTCAGATGTTAGCGCCGTCGCCTCACAGCTAGAAGATCCTCAGTTCACATGCCTATGAGGACACCCAGGATCTTTTTGCGTGGAGTTTGCATGTTCTCCTTGTGTAGCGTGGGTTTTCTCCGGGTTCTCCGGCTTCCTCCCACACAGTCCAAAAACATGTTGAGGTTAATTGGTGATTCTAAATTGTCCGTAGGTGTGAATGTGCTTGGTTGTCCGTCTAAGTGTGGCCCTGTGATAGACTGGTGACCTGTCCAGGGTGTCTTCGCCCTAAGTCAGCTGGGATAGGCTCCAGCCCCCCTGCGACCCTAGTGAGGATTAAGCGGTGTATAGATGATGGATGGATGGATGGATGTTGTTTAATTTTGGAATTTGTCAAGTCCAAGTTAGTGATTGACACACTATTTCTGTGATGTTGTTAACCAGTGTTAACAGACCGTTCACTTTTTTGAATACAACAAAAACTTGCAGGTGTTTCCAGATTGTGAATTTCAGAAATAAATCCAGGTGGACATCAGGAAAAATCATGAATTTTGATCTCACTTTACAGGAATCCAATAGAATGTTTAAAAAGTGTTTTGACACTCTTTTAAAATGTCCTTTTTCACAGCAAATTTCAGCTGTTTACTCCTTAAAATGCTTCTTGTAAAAAAAACACCAAGCAACAAATGAATGTAATCTGGAGCCGACAGAAACACTCCTAACTGGCACCATGGATTTGATTTTCAGGGTGAGCGAGTGGCAGAGTTGATTTTGCATCACGCCCGAGCTAACGAGTGCAGCGACGTGCCGAGGTTTAAAAAGGAGATGGCCGAGCTGGTGGAACAGGCCCTCTGCAACACCTTCACTCTGGGGAAGGTAGGAACCAACAATTGTGCTTTTTTTAATTGCATCTGAGTTGTGATGCAGGGCTTGACAATGGCTGTGATTATTATGTTACTACATTCTGGTGTAGAGAACATTAGAAGAAAAAAAAAATTCAATTTGGCCCTCGACGTGATATTGTAATACAATTTGAAATGCATTTTCTTCTTTTCCCGTCTTGCACTGTGCTTGTTGTTCTTCTATTATGATTTAATAAACAGCGTTTGCTTTTATAATCTTCGCTTGCTTTCCTCTTCTCACTGTCCATGTGAAGAATGAAATGTGCAAATTAAACAAATCTGCCAGAGTGTAATAACACAGTGCTGCATCAAGGCCCAGCTTGTCTCAACCAGAAAACTGTCTTGTGAAGTAACGTGTTAAAAAAAAAAAAGTTATATGTGCTATAAATGACTTGGCTTCAAAGAGGAAAATAAACACAAACCACCAGCATAACATTCTCTATCGTTCAGGTATTTCCTATTACCTATTATCTATTGAAAGCAAACATTGGCCTTAACACTGATCACTTATTACTGCTTCTGTGTTTTTTTGTTTGTTTTGTTTCTAGGTGCAAGTGGCTGACTTGCTCTCCAGAGTTTTCGGTCTACTCATCAAACACAAGGTAACGTATTACCAGGTTTCATTTAACGTGTCTGCCAAAAACACAACGTTAATTACAACAGGCAGTCGTGACTCAGCCTTTGTGGCTGCTCTGCTCCCAACCAGTTTCTCATTTTTATAGCACTGTGTTGTCAAATGTCAGTCTTGAAGATTTTTAATGTCAGAGAAATTGGTTGCTTCATATTGTTGTTAGGAAGGTCTAGCTTGTAGGCGGCTGCTTTGGAAATATCTGATTCATGTTTTAATAAAAAACAACAACAACAAAAAAAAATAACAGCAATTCAAGGCAGACCATAAGAAGATAAAAATCTCTTGAGAAATTTCTGGACGAATTTGCCTTGTTGGACTGGCAGTGTTTCTATCTAGTGCAGGAAACATTGTACTTGCTTGTAATGTCAGTTTTCCCACTGTTATTAGACACAAGTATGAACAGGCCTTAAACAGAAAATTCAAGCAGAACTGACTGTTCTAAAATAAATAAATAAATAAAAATCCCTCTCACTGATCGACTCAGTAGCTTTGTCTATTGAAGTGCTCACTAGTGATTTATACTACTGTTGGAAAAATGGTAACCATGTGATAGCTCTTGCAAATAGGTGCAAAGTCATCAACCTTATGAACAGTGCTTGTGTATGACTATAACTGATCTAGCATTTAAACCAACAACAAACTCAACTGAAGATGGCTGTACAGAAGGGCTCACTGATGTTGTTCCTGTTTCTCTTTTCTAGGTCAAACTGGAGAGTAATTTTGCCTCTATTGTGTTTGCCATCATGGTGCTAGAAGGTCTGGGCAGGTCACTCGATCCAAACTTGGACATCCTGGGTTTGGCCAAACCCCTGCTGCTGAAGAACTGTGCCTCACTGCTCTGATACACAAACACACATAGATGAAGGACAGTGCATCACATACAGACACCTGTATAGTAAGTGTACACACGGGTACCCAGCCCTATATGTTGTATGTATTTAGTCTATCTGTAGATACACTTCATGGGTACATCCTCCTAATGCCATAATGATGGGTGGTCTTGGGTGCAAGATTCCACTGCGAATCACAGGATCAGTCGCCTCTGTACACTTCAGCAATGTTCATGCCATTATTGCCTCATTGCATTTTATATTCGTGGGCTTTTCCACTTTGATCACTCTACAGTCAGGTCCATAAATATTTGCACATGGACACAATTAATGTGCTTTAAGTTCAGACTTTCAGCTTTAATTTACCGCATTTGGATGTAAATACTCTCAAATTACAGCTGAAAGTCTGCACTTAAAGCACTTCTTCATTTTAAATCCATTGTGGCGGTGTAAATTTGTACATTCCCCCAATAAAGTATTCTATTCTATAAAGTATTCTATTCTATGAAGTATTCTATTCTGTAAAGTATTCTATTCTATAAAGTATTCTATTCTAGAGAGCCGAAGTGCTAGAAATTGTATCAATGTCCAAATACTTATGGACCTGGCTGTATCTACTGTCTAGCTGAAGTGCAAACATTTCACACACTGAAATCAACTTTGAGGGCCCTTCAGCTCAGCCTAATGAATGACAGTATATGTGCTTTACACAAAGCACCCCTTGTAGTTTATTGAGTGCTAATGGATGAGTCAGACACATCGGCAGACGCACAGATGGCATCAGAGACCATTTGTAGTGATTTAAGATATAAAACAAAATAGTGCTAGAATCCCTAGTTGATACTCAGAAGCATATTTTTACTTTTTAATGACTAATATTGATCTCAGGATGTCCTTTATCACTCCGTATTTTATTGCATCTTAGGTAATGTTGTCTAATGGACCATATTTGCTTTAGTGTGAATCAAAATGTACTGTAACACTTGCTCTTATCCACTACACCAACAATATCAAGCCTTTGGCTAATTGTACTCTCAACTGACCTTTGTCTTTTAACTTTAAATTAAAATAGTGGGAACACAATATGAATAATTTATATCAATAAAAAGGGAATCAATGCAAATGTTATCTTTTTCTTTCCCTTGCTGCCTGTATACATTGGTGTTCTCCAATGCTTTTAAGGTAAACTTTTGCAACTTCAAAGCAGGAAATTTACAACATCAATGGCACGTGATCCATTAATTTACAATTTTATTAAATCTGTCAATGAAAAACACAGACAAGACGCGATTCTGTCAATGTCATCAGGAAGAACAGTCAGCATGGCTGAAAGAGTGAGATCAGGAGGTTTTGGTGCAAAAAAAAAAAACAAACTCATCACATACCCTTTATTGCAAAACTGCTGATTTTTTTTCATCACCATCAAGAGCCCAGACAGAGCAGCACTGTTCAAGTAAGGAGGGAGGGGAGAGGTGACAACTGTGTAAAAAAATCTTTCAATAATAATAATAATAATAATNGTAAAAAAATCTTTCAATAATAATAATAATAATAATTAATAATAATAATAATAGTAATGACAAAAGAAATAGAAACATCTCTAATAGACAAACACAATCACCTCAGTATAAGACGAGATTCTGTCACGGTCACAACAACCAGAGAAAAGTTGTTTTCTTTTTTTTCCTATTTTTTTTTAATGAATTAAATAGTTTTTAAAAATATCTCACCATTTACTTATACTCATCTTTTTTTTTCATTTATTGCGAAAAATAGGCAACTGGACTAATTGTGATGATGCGAGTTTTGTGTGTGTCTGTGTGTGAGTGTGTGTGTGTGTGTGTGTGTGACAGAAATACAGATTAAGTGGAGAGATATAGTGGAACGTCTTGGAGCGTTGGCACTGAGAGCAGCAGCGGTGTGTGGCGATGCAGTACTCTCGTTCAGCCACCAGGTGGCACAGTTCAGTCTGAACATTCCTCCTGGGTCCAGCTACGGCAGCCGACCCGCCTCCCCACTGTATCAGAGGAAGTCAAGTTGTGCCGACAACAGCCTCTGTGGTTTTTTTTTTTTTGGAATGATGCTTGTGTGTTGAAACTTTGTCCACGATCGCTTGTCTGCGTTGCCAAATCTCAGTTCTATGTACAAAGGTTTCAAATCCCTGAAGGACATCTACAAAGACAAGTGCAACCTCCATGTGACCATCCCCTTTCTGGAGAAGCTCAGGGATAAAAGGGTTCCGCTATAGGGCTAAAGGGGGGAATAGTACCGATCAGATCTGGTAAACGTGCCACAGTAGGAATCAACGGAATTGTTCTCAGGAATTAAAGTCAGGAATGATGGCAGAGGATCAACAGTTAGGAATGTTAAAAGAAGGGACAGGGGGTCTGTAAAATAGTGATCTTCAGAGGGGGCACCAAAATATCCTAACACAAATTCTTTCTAACAGAACGTCCAAGAGATGTGATGAAACTGGAAAGAAACCAGCGAAATGTACAAACAAAACAAAGCATCCATCGTCCGTTTGTCATATCCCTTCATGCTGATCCATCAGTCTCTCCATGCATTTTAAAAATAGTCTCTAAACCAAGCAGTCGTCCTCCATGTGAAACTGATTGTATTTTTGTTTTTTTGTTTTCTTTTGCTCATCTGCACTTTTTCTGTCTGTCTCTGTTAAGAATGGCCACTGTCAGTGTGGTGCCCCCTGGAGGACTGGCTGCCCTCCAGTTCTCTGTGGTGGCCCCCCAGGCAGGAGCATGGAGCTCCTTTAGGAGGGGGGTGATGTAGGGAACCAAACAGGTGAGAAGGGGATTAGACTCTTGGAAGAAATTAGGGTGTAAACTTTTAGTCTGATGTGAATGCTTCTTCCAGGGTTAGGGAGGGCAGCTGGGCTGGAAAAAGAGAAGTGGGCTCGATGCGGCGCATACACTCATCCTCACACACAGTAACACTCACACCCATCTGTGTTTGAGGCCCTCGCTATGTAAAGGTCATGGCAGATGGAGTTCTGGACTGCCAGCACTGCAGCAAGGCTACTCATTGACTTTTCTGAAAAGATCCGCAGCTGTCAGTGGGCCTTGACTGGATCCAAGCGAGTTAAACTGAGAATTAGGAAGCGATAGGTAGATGGATAAAAGAGATTGGCTGACATCTTGACGGCAGAGGAGAAGAAGAAAGCATGTTTCTTTCACACCAAGCCTGACTTCTCCCATTTTATGTGTGGCCGGCATCCATCCATAAATCATCTGATTCCTTTTGGGAGACATTTAGGAAGACACAGCTGCTATGTCACGTTATCTCCAAATCTTGTCTTTACATTCCACTTGGGAAAAGATGTGTGGGAGCTAAGCCTAGTCAGGTAAGCATGTAATGGATGTGTGCGATAAGGCAGGAAGGGAGTCTCTCTCATCGTCTCTGACTGTTTGTCTCCAGCTTCTCTCCACATTGTGGTTTCCACAGGCTGCCACCAGGGGGTGATGTTTGGGCTAACTGTTGGGTGGGTGGGGGGGAACAAAGGAGGACGGCGTTAGATCAGAGTTTGTGGCTACGAGGTGAGCCAGGGGTGGTTGAGGCATTCGCCGGCCGAGGCCCTCTTCTCGGGCACCATCTCCAGCATGGGCAGCAGGAAGTGAGTAAAGTGGCCGGCGTCTTCGTGCGACCAGCCGTACTTCTCCACCAGAACATCGAACAGGGACCACGGCTTCAGCTTGGTAATGTGCCGCAGCTCACCTGCAGAGGGCCAAACGGAGCAGAGTCAGTGATGGCACAGGAGGATGTGAGGACAAACAGCAGTGGTGATTAAAGGGTTGGTCCGCACAATTACAAAAAAACACTTTTCTCATTTTCCATAAATCCCAAGAAAAACAATATAATAATGAATGGATCCTAGGCCAAAGTCTGGTAATGTTTAATCCTTTGAAATATGAAGTTCCTTTATTATCCAAAAATCTATAAAAACATAACTGAGCCCATAGCGCTGACATGTTTGTCTTAATGTCTGCACTGAAGCTCATTTTCATTCAATCCCACAGTCACTGTCCTGCAGCTGTAGGTACTCACTGGAGCACCAAATGAGTTTCCATCTGCAGCTGAAATTAGCATTAGTTTACTCTACTTGACAAACTCCTGTTTGAGTAACCTTTGAAGGAAATCATTTTGCCTTTAAAAGAATACTCACCACCTGCTTACAAAGAGTTACGTCATCATTTGGAACAAATGGGAAGTCAGAAGGGATGGGAAGGACTGTGGTATTGTTGGATTTGATCTTTTCATGGGATTTGTTGATAATAAGAAAAATATGGAACCTCATCAGTCTTATCCTTAAACTCTAGTGGTGTCTAGCCATGCAGATAGCATAGTTTTAGTTTTACTATCTGAGATTTCTGTCTACACTCCACAAATGAATTTGTGATTCCTGCAGCATTGAAATCTTGGCAGGTCAGCAGCAACCTGTTTCTAAAAACAAAGTAATTCCTGTAACCCGGAAAATTCAAAGGACTTAAACACACAGATTAAATATGGTGTTAATATGGCCAATTATAAATCGTATAAAGGGCTAACGTATGATCATATAGAGGACAGCCGTGTGTCATGGTTTACAAAACAAATGCACCAATATCTGGAAAATGACAACATTTTAATCATCAGTGCCGGACTACCCAAACAGGGATTTTTTTCTATAATAATCTGTTAATTACTCATTTTAAAATCATACATAGAATTAGATTTTCTCAGAAATAGACAAGGTGATTACTGTGCACACGCATATTACAACAGGAGAAAGAATATCCTTCAATATCACTGTCACTGTTACAAGTGAAACTAGTATCACGACTCCAAACCAGAGTCAAGTCAGAAACTCTAATCCAGAGTAGGGTGTTTTTGTTTTTAGAAAGACATGTTGCTGCTGAATTTTTAAATGTGAATTTCTAAGGTTTTCTGCACATAAACAACAATCTATACAAATATGTCACCAAACTATCTCCATGGATAGATTCCACTCTCTGGCCATGTAATCAGATGGACCGTGGTCGGCCATGATTATGCAGACTCCAAACTCCAGACAGCAGCTGATTTCACTAATTACTTCACCTCTCTCTGTTTGAAGGTTTGCTAATCAGTGAGGTGCTGCAACAATGGAGTAAAAACCTGCAGATTCTTGGCTGAAAACCACAAAAACACAAGGCAAGAGATGGATAGAAACAGACAGAGAGATGGAAAGGTAATGGAAATCGACAAAGAGAGGAAGGTGTTCATTATTCAAGAGAGGGGGAAAACGGTTGGCTGCGTCTACAAGTCTGACAGAGAAAAAAGAAAGTGTGAGAGAATGATTAATGATGGAAGCGATCAAGACCGAAGGTCCAGTTCAAACCACAGCTGCCATGGTAACCTCTCTTTCCTTGCACTGACTGGAGTACACAAGATGGGGAATGGAAACCATTTATCAAGAATTCTCTTACATTGTGCAAGATATTAACTGAGACACTGTGTTGACATGTGATTTCTGATGGCAAGATTAACCTTTACATCATTTTTTCTTTTTTTTTTTGCGCTAATAGAAACAGCATGCGCTGCAAATTGCTGAACCATCTTTAGGCCTACACTCTTACAAAAGGTATGTTTATTTTTCCAGATGTTACATCTCCAATCAATGCATCCGCTTTCCTTAAAGTTCAACAGAAATCAGTGCGCATGATGGAAACAAGGTGACACAGCCAGCCGACTGCACTGCACAATCGAAGGCATCTTGGCAGACAGGAGAAGCCCAGAGAGACAGAGCGAGAAAGTCAGACCAGATTAACAGAGCACCAAGAGATAAAAGGGAGAACATTGAGACATCAAGTGCAGGCTCAGACCTCAAATAGAGACAACATCAAAGGCAGAATATTCAGGTCTCATGACACATTATGAAGAATATATGAGCAGAAAGGATAGGAGATCGAGAGAAACTAAAAAGAGAATAAATGAGAGAGTGCAAGGGTTATCAGCTGTATCAAACACAGATCCACACACTTACCAGGCTCGTAGATGAGCAGAATCAGAAAGGTGTATGACACACTATGGTGAAGCCTGAGTATGTTCAGGCTGGGAATGCCCTAAACTATCATTGTTGCTTTTAATGTTTGTTACTTTTGCAGGCTTCTGCTCATCACACATTTGTAAACTATTACTTCTAATGTTTGATACATAAAATGTAGTGAATTAAGAATTTTTAATTGTTTCTTTTGGATAACATTTCACAAAATTCTGCTTCTGATAAGACGAAACTTCTGACTGATCTGCTGTCTGTCTACTACAAGCTAATTTGTTCAAGTCTCTATAAAGATAATACATTTTCTATTTATTTAATAAAGATGAAGACAACAACAAAGTATTTGAATGTCCATTTAAAAGAAATGGGCAGCAAAGTCAAAATCAACATCAGCATATTATTACAAATACTTTTCATGAATTGATAAAACCATATCACAATAACATCAAATGGCAAAACAACTAATTTTATTAGTTTTTAACTGCAATGTGCTTAGATTAACTAATTTGGACAATTATTAGGAATTTAATAAAAGTAGATATGTCTTTTATATATATATTTTTACTTGTATATATGTCACAGTCCAAATTAAAATCCAGGCAGATTTTAAATCTCCCTATGTTAGATTAAAAATGTACCCAGGCAGGATTACAATCTCATTATGATATTAGAAGGATTTTAATTTGGTCTAGTCAAAATCAAAATTTTAGTTCTGCCAAGGCAGATTTTAAATCAAAATTTTAATCTCACTCAGGCAGATTTTAAATCTGGCTGGATTTTAATTTGGACTGTGACGTATATATGTTTATGGGAGACAGAAAACCTTAACCCTACTGATTTGTTGCGCAGATCTACACTTTATTTTTTATTTTTTGCTGTGATTGACAACTTACCTGAGGCTATCTGGACTTGCCTTAATGCAGAATGTGTGCAAGCTTTGCTACACAACAAACACTACTGGATCCGAGTTTTGGTACCACTGCTGAGCTCCTCACACACTACAACCATCCCTCAGGATGAGGCCTACGCTTCACCTAACCAGCCACTAACCACGGTGTCGTTTACCTTTCTTGGAGAAAAACTCTCGGCTGTACTTCCCGCCAGCGACCACTTTGCGTGGGACCTTCCCAAGGAGCTCCATGATCAGAGCGATGTGGTCTGCCCACCACCACATACATCACAAAGGGAACAGGCACGGTTCAGCATTACAGCATGCACACACATCAACACACATACACTGGCTGAATGGTGCTGACACACACTGCTGCCTCAGGGTGCTGCATGGACACACTCACAGGCAGTAAGATTCCCCCTGCCAGCTTCACACTTTCAATTAAAAGATGCAATTTTGACCAAATGCTCTGCTAGTGTCCATTGCTGTCCCTCTCAGACATCTGTGTGCCCCAGTCCCACCAGCTCTCTGGCCAGCGCTACCTCTTCTGTTGAAGAACTCCCGGGAATATTTTCCGGAGAGCGCAAAGTGCCTCGGAATACAGCCCAGCAGCTCTATGATGTGGGCTATGTGGTCTATGGAGGAGAGAGGAAGGTGGGAGTGAGGAGAGCGGGAGGGAAAAGAAAAACCAAAAAAGGAAGAGGACAGGGAAGGAAATGTAGACAAAAAGACAGAGAAAGAAATGGTGACGCCAGACAGAGGAGAATTAATGGAAAGAGAAATTAAATGTGAGAAATTTGTAAAAAAGAAAAAAAAAAGGATGGATTGTGGGTAAGAAAAATAGCAAGAGGGACAGGGGGTGAGGGGTATAAAAGACCACAAGGGGGCAAGGATGGGATCAAAAGAGAGGGAAGAGGAAGGAAAAAAGAGACAGTCACAGATAGTAAAGGAGAAAAACCTGTGTTAGTGAGCTGTGCCTCCACAGCAGAGGTGAGGAAATGAAATGAATAAAAGTGACGTGCATTCAGATTCAGAAATGAATGAGCGGGATTATCAATGTGGCCTCAATGGAGGGAGATCAAAGGTACCTCTCTGTAAATCAGGATATCAGGATAAAACTGACGCTGGCTTACTGCCTGTGCAAAACATGCAACGGGGAGTTATGGTGCATCACGTGCAATGAGAAAAATAACACAATGAGCTGCGTGAGATCAAAGACCGGTGGAGATGAAGTGATCAAGGAGCAAGGTGAGAATGAGGGTGAACACTTTGGAAATGTGTTGTGTTTTTCGAAGATTTGAAGTCAGGAAAATTAGTATAATTAATGACTGGAGTCTCCATGCAGATATAGTGTTGTGATAGAGTAACATGTGATCTGAATATAGATAGATCACATGATAACTGGCTGATGTTTAAGGTATTAACTGTTTCCATTTTACAGTTCATTAATCTCCACAATTGAGCTCGTTAACAGGAGCTCTGTGGGCTTTGTGGGTATCTACAATGTTTGAACAGTTGAGTTTTTTGTGAACAGTGGATGAAGATGGGTGGAGGCATAGCAGCAGAATTAAAGGACAGGATTTACAGTTGACAGTGGATAGGAGGATTTGGGGAGAGGGATGCTATACTTAAAGCTAAGCTCACACATTGAGGCATTTTTTTATCTGCTTACAATACAAGTAGACTTTTTTGTTGTTACACTTTTTCTCCATTGTACACATTGTTGGAAAGAAAAGTTCACCTTTTAAGAATAGGTGATGAGCTTGCAAAACAACAAATGTATGGTTAAAACTGTGCTGCATTCTAAAAATAAAAATCATTCTGCGCAATCAGCAAAGTCAAATACGGAGACAGGTAATAATAAAAAATATTTGAAAAAGACTTTTTTTCTTTGGTTGATAGTATTGTTGAAAATATTAAACACTAGACCAGGTGTTTTGTTTAGTTTACACCATTAAAATGAATCAATTAAGAATTAGGTTCTTTATTTGTTTAAATAACTTAAAAAATGGATAATTGTCTCTCAGTTCAATTTTTAATTGTTCATGTTTAAGTTATTGCTTCAGAATCTGATTTTTTTTTAACAAACCTTTTTTAAAAATGGCTCAATCTAGTAACCTTTTATTTCTGTGTTTTGTGCTTCTGGTTGGGCTGTACCATTTTCACCAGGGGAAGTAACCCACAGCCTGTTGGGTAGCAAATCTAATCATGCAATAATCTGAGTTGTCCTAAGTTTCATTCATTTATGTAGCTATTCCTTTATTCACACATCAACAAACCTGTAAGCTATATTTGAGGCTGTGTAGCATTACATACACATGCATATCCAGGGTTAGATACAGGAGGCTGGGAGGAGAGTCCATTCAAAAAGGTATTTGAAGGCTTATGTTTAATCTGAACAACATCGACAATAATAACAAAACTCATTAAGGTTTAATGTTCACATACATCCCAAATCCCTCCCTAAGCAGGATAGCACATGTGCTCCATACTATACATAATGCAAAGTGTGCTGCTGGGTCTGTAGCGAGCTGTGGGCTCCCCCCACATGCTAATGGTACATTCCAACCACAAGCGCAAGACACAGAAATAGAAAGTTAGAATTATTTGAAGCGACCACCCAAACATGAACCACTGAAAATGAAACGGAGAGAAAATTATCCATCTGTGAAGTAATGAAAAAAAAAGGATGATGATAGCTTAAAGCCCATTTTTTTGTCTGATTCACTTTGCCTTAAATGGACCTTACATTTTTTTTATTTAGAAACTTTATTATTTAACGTTAGGTGAATTTATTTGAAGTTGTGATAAATACATCGATGCATTTGCAGTCTTAAAACTGCAATCAATCTGAACAATGGAGAAAAACTATGAAACCCATGAAATAACAGTTAAATTCAGACACTGAAGACACTTTGCTTTTAGTATTATTCCCTCACTACTCATCATTTTTATATCTTTAAGTCAACATTCAGTTTACAGATTTAAGATACAATATCCAGTTATGACTTCCCTGTAGAACAGAGAACTGTAGTAGCTGACAGTGTTTGTACATCTGACATTTTGTGAATATGTCAAAAAGCTTTAAATACTCACCCTCATCACGGGAGTAGTCCTCTCCAGAGTGGGGCTCAAACAGGTAATCTCCTGTGGCCAGCTCAAATGCCTACAAGAGAACAAACTGAGTAAGCTAACAGTGAATGTACACAGAATAGATGGAAGTGTACTCTATATGTATCTAATGTTCTTGTATGCGATCATGTGCTCTCCTCACCATGCAGGCAGTACTCCAGATGTCAGCAGGCGTACTGTAACCGGCTCCTATCAGGACTTCAATGGAGCGGTACTGTCTCGTCTGGATGTCCTCTGTAAAGTGCTTATGCTGACGAGGAGAGGAAAGAGAGGAGAGTGGCTTTCTGTAAATGTGTATATTGGTTATTATAGAGATACACTGGAAATCATGATTAAAACTAATTTCCTGAGTTTGTATTAGCATTTTTATTAATTAATCAATATATGAGACAACGCTGACCAATGCTTCTGTCTAATTAAGTTCTATTAATCTCTTGCGCTTGTAAATGAAACCTTGTAGTAACCTTGTAATTGGTAATTTTAAATGTGTGTGCGCTACTCTGGCCTGACCACTGCAACTGACTGGTTGTTTTGTCAATAACATGAGTACTACAAATGCGCGTGGGGCTTTTATTTACACTTTTATCTGTTGTTTCATTTGCCGGTGTGTAATTATTGCGCGAGGCTTCGGTGTAAGATTAGTGCTTCTTAACAACCAGCCTGTACGGCACTGGCTGCTGGTGCTTGTCTCTAATAATTTCTCTTGTGCGAAAAGAGACCCTACTGAAAGCAACAGTGCAAATCCAGCACAGAAGGGAAATCAGTGTTTAATGTCATGCTTCTTCTTCTGCTCTTCCTCCTCATCCTCCCTTCTCTCCGTATCCTTATTTAAATATCTGCACCTCAAAGACTGTAAGTAAAACTCCCACACAAGTTTAAAATTTGAATTGTGAAAGTGCAGAATTATATATGTATGAAACATGCAAATTGTACCTTCACAGACTAATAGGAGCACATTTGTCTGGAGTTTGATTGTCAATATGTCTACTGTGTTGTACCTGCAGTGCTGCTTCCCTGTGAACTACTTGTTCCAGGTATTCAGTTGTTTTTAAAACAAAATAAAAAAGTCTTCATCCTTGTGTACTTAAAAAATGTGCTTCAGATCAAGTTATATCAAATCTCTGTTAGCGTGTCTTACCACCCAGCAGGCATTTCCGAGATCGGCGATTTTGACTCGAATGGAATCAGCGTTGCGAGGGTCTAGTGGGTTGATCAGGAGGTCCGCAGCTCTGGCCCTGACTGGGAGGAGACAGAGCCAAACAATGTTAACAAACACTATAAACAGAGACAAGAAGAGTTTACATACTTTAATGTACCAATAGGCAGTTGTTCAAGACAAGGGTCAGCTGTTTCAACAAGAAATCCAAATATGAGAAACTTATTTTTCTAATGTGATCCTTGAAGTAACCCCAGAGCTAGGAATTTGCAGTTCAAGCTAATGATACTAAAATGAATGTTGTAGGTGGATGAGTAATGGTGATGCTGAGTCATAAATAATACCCAGAGGAGATGTTTGGACATGAAATTGTAATAATGAATGATAACCAGTGTTATTTAATCACGACAATGACTAAAAACGAGCATAAAAGACTTTTCAGTAGGAATCCTACAAACGTAAATTGAAACGCATTTAATATTTGTGGGAATGTGGACGTCAATATTAACTGACGACAGGAAAATGACTCAAAGACTCTCTACATCTATAATCAAGTTTGTTTTTTTTTACCTTGTTAACATGCCCATACAAGGTTTTTATATTCAAGAACACATAAATGAAAGGAGCAGTCAACACCATGGCTGAACATTTCTGCACTGAAACTGCAGTGTATAAATGACGGTCTCAAAAACACAGAATCAGAGTTTCATACATAACCAACTTCTGCATCATTACTCTTCCGAATTAGTTTCTGGTTCCACTATATATGGCTGAATTATTCCAATATCACAATTTGCTAGTGTGTAGTATATACAGTAGTTAAATAGTGTGTGAGCAAAGTTAAGAATGACAAGGTGCTCTCGAGCTATATCAAGTAGCGGAGCAGTGGGTGGGGAAAGAGAGGAAGCTACACAGAGCCACACATTCTAGAGGATGGAACAGTAAAGACATTTTAAGGTAGGAAGAATTGTTTTCATTGAAAAAAATCAATGACTGGAAAGGGTTTAAATGAGATCCTACAAATTGCTGGCCACAGTGAAGCTGCAGCGTGTGACAGAGCAGGCAGTTACAGGGGTAAAAAGTAAGGACAGACATCCAGAAAGGAAATAAATCTAAACTGCAACAAACATGAAGAGATGAGGAACAATGAAACACAGCAAAGAAACAACGACTGTACGTGCCACTGACAAGGAATAGGAGAGAAGCTGCCTGTGCAAGGCTACGTAGCTATAGTTCTACAAGAACCATCGCTATAATTATGCCATGGAGCTGGATGCCACATTATTTGCTGTTGTTGACATTGACAGCAACCAGTAAATTTCCGTCTCCTCCGTACCAAAAACTTGACATTGAGTTTAAAACTTAGAGCTCCTCCTTGTGAACTCCTTTCTATTCAGCTATTAGATGTTGCCTAGCAACACAAATGACTTCTGAGGCTCAGGAATAAAAACTAAACACCATTCAGCCACAACGTTAAAGCCACATACGCAATACTGTGTAGGTGCCCCTTCCTCAAAAACAGCTCTGACTGGTTGAGGTACAAGATGTGGTGTCCTGTGGTATCAGGCACAAATGCTGTAACAACAGATCCTTTAAGTCCCGGAAGTCGTGAGGACCTTTATCAATCGGACTAGTTTTTTCAGCTCATCCCACAGATGTTTGATTTGACAGAAATCGTGGGAATGTAGAGGCCAAGTAATAACCTTGAAATCTTTGTCATGTTCCTCAAACCATTCCTGAACAGTTTTTGCTGTGTTGAAGGTTCTATTAAAGAGGCTGATGGTATCGGGGTACACCACGGCCATGAAGGCGTGTACGTGGTCTGTAACAATGTTCAGGCAGGTGTTACATGTCAAAGTAGCATCTACATGAATGCTGAGAGCCAAGATTTCCCAGCAGAACATTGGCCAGAGCATCACTCTGCCAGCGTGCCTTCTTCCCACAGTGCATCCTGCTGCCACCTCTTCCCCAGGTAAACGACACATATGCATCCACTGATCCACATGATGTCAAAGAAAATATGATTCATCTGACCAGGCCACCTTTTTCCATTGCTCCATGGTTGATTTCTTACGTTCACATGGCTATTGTTGGTGCTTTCAGTGGTAGACGGGGGAGCATTGGCACTCTGACTGGTGACTATGCAGTGCAATATACAACAAGCTGTGAGGCACTGTGTGTTCTGACACCTTTCTATCATGGCCAGGATCACTTTTTTTTCCTGCAATTTGCACTACAGTAGGTCTTCTGTAGATTCAGACCACACTGTCCAACCTTCACTCCCTATGCACATCAGTGTGTCTCAGGTGTCCATGACCATATCTCCAGTTGACCAGTTGACCTTCCTTGACCCACTTTCGGTAGCAAAACATTCTAACTACTCACAGATGAGGTGAATACTGTTGCTTATCTTGTGACAACAACACATATTAAAGTCTGGAATAAATGAGACAATAAATTAACACTTGCTCCTGGCGAGCAGCAATGGATACCTATCAACAGTGGTATGAGGAGGGATACACCGTGAAGCAGCAACAAAGGCTGTCACATCAAGTCTGAAACAACACAAGGCTTACTGTAATGATGGTTACTGGGGATCTTTGTTACATCACACAGTGTGTTGTTTACCTGGTGAAGAGATGATACCAGCAAGCATTGTAGGAAGAAGACAAGCCAGTGGAGAAGGTGTGATGCTCAGAGAATGCTGGGAAATCCTGGGTACATGCTACCTATCTAAACACTGCTGCAGCCCAAGAACAGCCCTTCACGGCACTTCCTCAGCGGTGCACATTGTTTGGGAATGGTTTGAAGGATATGACAAAGAGTTCAAGGTGTTGCCCGGTTGTCTAAGTGCTCCATATCCTAAGCTGACTGCATCATGTACTGGAACAATTCCAATTTGAGTTGATTTCAACTTGAAGCCAACTTGTGGCTAAGGTTTTAGCACCTGATACCTTAGAACACCTTCAGAGGTGGAGTTCATGTCTCAGCAGGTCAGAGGTGTTTTGGTGGCATATAAGGCCTGACAGCACATCAGGTAGGGGTAGTCATAATGCTTTGGCTCGTCAATGTTTTATGATGCTTAAAACAGATGCAGTTGCAGTTACAGAATTTTTAAATTTTGATTACATATCAAATTTTGTTTGAAAATGGCCAACAATACTCTTGTCATACCTGCATTGGTTCCTACATTATGGTATGTAGTAATTGTCGAGTATCTTCCTTTACTTATTGTACACTTTGAAGCTCCATTAAGGATTCCCTGAGTTTGGAAATCTGTAATTATCCCTGAATTTAATCATTCTGTGTGTAAACCAGTAAATACTAGACAGTCACATCTCACCTTTGGGTGTGTCTCCTGTGCTTGAGGATGACACAGTGCGACTACGGTCTGCTGCGGGGCTGTTGGGTGAAGGTCCTGCTCCGATGTCTGCTGTCCCAACAGAAATGGGGTTTCCCGGCTCAGGATCCAAGGGCAAGTCAGGGAAAATGGGCAGTGTGCCCAGATGGCGCTCACTGGAGCCGTTGGTCAGTCCTGGCTCACCCAGTTCGCCGTTATACATCTCATAGCCCGAGCTGAGAGAGTTGTCCCTGTCTGTGTAGCTGAGCTCAGACTCCACCAGGGGGCAGAGGAGAGGCTCAGGGGTGGGCGAAGGAGGGAGAGTCGTGCCAGGGTTTGGTTTCAGTCCCTCAGATCCCAACAAAACATGCCCATTGGTTTTGGCCGAATTGGTTTTATTGTTGTGGGGTTTGATCGGGGAGGTGCTTTCCGTCAGGAGGTCAGCGGTCGTGACATCATCGTCATCATCTTCCTCCTCTTCCTCCTCTCCCTCTTCCTCATCCTCATCCTCATCCTCCTCCCCCTCCTGCTCCTTTGAGCCCTCTTCTTCCACCACTGCCTCCTCCTCCGTTTTGCTCTCAGTCTTTGGCTCCTCTGTCTCATTGTCCTCTGTCTCAGTCTCTTTATCCTCCTCCTCCTCCTCCTCCTCTTCTTCTTCTTCCTCTTCTTCTTCCTCATCCTCCTCCTCCTCTTCTTCCTCCTCCACCTCCTCTACCTTCTCCTCCGTCTCCTCCTCGTTCTCCTTCTCTGTCCCTTTCAATCCCTCCTCCTCCTCTTCCTGCTCCACCCGCTCCTCTTGCTCTACCTCTGCTTGTGTTGGATTTCCATTACCTTCCTCTGAGACGGGGGGAATGGGGGCATCTTTTTCAGCGACAGGCGTAGCTTCGTCCTCTTCTTCCACCTCCTCATCAGGGTCATCATCGGTGATGTGGGGCGCCTCACTCTGCTCCTGGGGAGGCGCTGCACCTGATGTGGAGAGGGGGAAAAAAATGAAACTGTAAAGATGGGAAGTGGGTGGGAAGGCGATATACAGTAAGCGCAATCAAAGACAGTGTAGGCAGAGAGAAAAAGAGTGTGAAAAGAGAAAAAAGACTGGAGAGAAGGAGGCAAAAGCGAGAGTACGAGAATGAAAGAGACAAAAGGTGCAGAGACTGAGGGTGGAGGAGGGAGACGGAGAAAGACAGTTTTTTTTTTGTGAATCAGCCTAGCCTCCCATACACAGCGGGACTAGCGTGGGCCGAGTGGTTGGAGCCAATCCACATCCTATTCATTCACAGACAGACTGCACAAACCTGCACACACATACTCACATGTTCACTCATGATGCAGCTCTATCAAAGCTGCTGCTCTGTTTCAGAAAAATCCTGTTCTAGCTGTTGCCAACCGGATTACGATACAGATTGAACTAAATATATTGCCCACTTTTCTCTCCCAGTACATTTTAGAGCTTCACTGAAAATATACCATTAAACTGCAGCAAATGTTCCCGTTATTTTAAATTAAACTGTATGCATAAAAACGGTTGTACACCACGCTGTTTAAATGAGTCATAAACACTTTATCATGAAGTTGGTTAAATTAACTAAAAATAAACTAGTGACCATCAATGAATGCAAAATGGTTTAAACTTAAGTTCCTACAAGGTGACACAGTGTATTCTGCTTTGTATTATGGAAGTTGGATTCAGCCAAAATGGGCTCTCTGAGCCTGACATCAACATCTTCGATCTGAAGCCTTCAATAAGCAACATTCTATCTTTTAACATTCCTGAGGCTAACCAGAGAATCAGATTGAATCGTCAATTTGTTTCACTTAAAATGAGATGGAATGGAGGTTAAGTTCATTTCAGTTCTGCTAAACAGATCAGAGATGCTGAGTTAAGGGTCTGAAAACAGGCTATGAGGACGCAATTCAGCAAATTCATTGTAAACGGGACGCTTATTTACACAGTTTATGAACAGCCAATACAACCACATAAAACCACATAACAAAAGTAAAACAAATGTGGCAGGAAGTGTCAATAAGCGTATAAAGTGGCCAACTGAAATATGTTCATTTGTACTGGTCTGTATTCAAGGCAACCTTCTGAAGCAGGATTCAGACCAGGAACACATATTACACGATGAGAATAAAACATGTACACTTGTCAAATAAGAACTCACACTTAGTGTGCTTTAACACACTTTCATTATAAAATTGCATTTTAAAAAAATAAAATGACCAAATATGTCAAGTTTAATTCTGAGAAATGTGTATAACACTTCGGACTGTTAGAAGACAAGATACTTTGTGGCACAGCCATAAAAAATGACATGTGCAGCTCTATGTCAGTTGTTATTTGTGGTATCCCACAAGGTGTTAAGATAAATCTGAGAGGTCAATGGATGATCAGAAGGAATAAAAAAAAATCTTCCTAGGTTAATGCTGTTTTTTCTTTAATACTGGATTTTTTGGCCATATTTTTTTCAATTCTTTATTAATTCCAAGTGTGGAGGAATCGTTGCTTCTTCCAGCCTCAAAAATACCTAAAAATGAAGTAATCTATCTATAATGTCTCACAATACTGTGTTAATAGATTTAACCTCTTAAGAACAGAGGTCTTGTTTGATATGCATTTTTTTTAAATTTCTCTTTACTATTTGACCTGATTAAATAGCAAAGAGAACAAAAAATATTTAAAAAATGAAGAAAATAAAAATATATTTTAAAAAAATAACATAATTAAATATCAATAATAACAATAGTAAAATATTAAAAAGAAAAAGAAAATTTAAAAATTAACCTCTGTGGTAATGTAACCCAAAATGTGATGACACATGTGGACATCAGGTCTTAAGAGGTTATTGTCAGGCTGTGTCTGATAGTAACAAAACTATTAATCTTCACAACAAACTGCACCTTTGGGTAAAACTCTCAGACCACGTGACTCACATGTATGATTGGTCAACCTGATGGGCCTCTCCCTCTCTCCGCCTTCCTCCTCGTCGTCTTCGCCATCCTCCTCGTCGTCGTCGTCATCATCGCTCTCTCCCAGAGCCATGCTGGGGCCCAGCTGGGACGGTGGCGGCTGCAGCGGTGAAGGCAGGTTGTGTTCAAGTGCCCCTTTCTCTCCCCCTTCTTTTGCCTTCTCTTCCTTTTTCTCCGCCTCTCTTTCCAGGGCTTCGATCTCCAACATCCGCCTCTCCAGCAGCTCGGCTTGCCGCTTTTGCTTTTTCTTCAGCTTCTTCTTCTTGTTTTTGGAGATCTTTCCCACCTGGGTTGAAAAAAGACGAAGAGGGAGAGTCACAGGGAAGCCAAAAACACGAATGAATAGGAAGTATTCAAGGAAGAAAAGGCATTTGACACTTATGTGAATGGTGGGATATAATTTATAAAAGTAACGTCAACTAACATTTCTTCTGTATAAGGATTATAAATACATTTTAAATCAGACATATCACTGCTGTCTGGTATATCTCATAATTTTTGGTTGTAGTAAATAGGTTGAGAAACTCTATTCCAGAAAACCAGTTTCAGTAAGCTGTTTATGATGACTGGGTTTTCTACCAAAGTTAGAACACTTAGTTATTTAATCTGCCACACACAGTCCTGATGACACAGCTGAGTTTGGAGTGATAAACTCTAAATAATTAATAACTGCGCAAGCCTTTAGCTGAAACTGATGCTTATTTTGTCATAAATATCCAACCTACAAAAAATAACTGATTATGAACAGGTTTCAAGTGCTTAAAGTTAAAATTAAACATGTTAAAATCTCATTGAATTATGAAAAAAATAAAATAAGACTGTTATAAAGTGGAAAACAGGGATATTTTACTTGCTTTGGATATTTAGGAGATGCATGGTCTCACAGTACTGCATCTATAAGTTAGTCTTAGTATAATTTCTTCGTATTTCTTAGGAACTTTTTTTAAAAATAAATTGAGCATTATTCCTGCAAATATAGCATGGTAGATGCTTTAATTTGAAGAACAATATTAGCAGGCGAAAAACTGCCAATTAGACATTTAAAGACGCTTCTTGTTTGTGTGCTGCGTATGTTTGTGTGTGTGTGCATTCCTCTCATTTCATACTCACATCAGTTGTACTCACCGGTTTGAGCTGGGGGGCTGTGCTAACTGACAGACAGAAAGAAAAACAACAACAATCAAAGGCTTCAAAGTTTCACCGACATCAATCCGTCACACAGCCGAGCAAACAGTTGACATGTGCATTTTAGATTCCTGACTTTTGTTGTGCGAGCGCCCTTGATGAGCCTGATAAGGAATCCGAAGTGGAAAACTTGCAAACTAATTATGAAAAATAACTTGTACACCTCAACGACCTGAGTCGCTCATTGCAGATCTCTATTATGGTTTGTTCCTCGCACGCCTTCATCTCCTCAGTCAATAAGCCTTGAAAGAGTTACAGTTCAGTGATACTTCACGGACAACAATTTTTAGGTTTATGTCTTGCCATTTTCCAAACATTTAGCAAAATAAACAGGTTAAATCTTTCACATTTTCTGTAAAGATGCACACACAAGAGTGAAATTGGCACAGACAACATTGTTTTAGGATTGACATTGATTTTGGTTTCATCTGCTCAAGGGTTTCCACCGTAGCAGCTCAGTCAGAACAACCATATCAAACTACATTTTCTGTACCCCAAAAATATTTCCAAATGAACCTGTTACAACAGTCTACGATATGTTGCCATTTGTGTCCTCCGTAGCTTCGGTCGTCTCTGAAATACATCACAAACATGTCTTTTCAAATGAAGCAGTAATGATGAAGATGCTATGAAGCACATGTCTCAACTCATTTTAATGTCAATAAAACATTTATTTATTTTGCATCTTCGACCCCAGACACATTCTGTCACCACCGAGCCCTCATGTTTTGACAGCTGATAGTTTTTTGCCCCGCTTGACATGTGTAGAAATGTAAGCAGTATAATTGGTTACCCTAAGGCTCAAACAGACTCCATTGGCTGATGCAAGAAATTGACAGCTCATTGGGGGGTTCATCGAGGGGACAGGGTTCATGCGGAGTTCGACAAGAGCATATTTCTCAAGAACTTGAGTTTTGTTTTTTTTTTTTCTTTCTTGGTGACGAGAGATGAAAAAAAGCAAGAAATGTCTCTGTGAAGCACCAAACGGGAAGCAGCTGAGGAGGCACAAAAGGTTTCTGTGAGAATCCTTCTTGTGACGAATGCTTCAATATTAAACACGATCTTTTGAAGGGAAAAAAAAGAGACTTTATTACTTTTATTATGGCGTACAATTTATTGCATTTGTTGCAAATGATGAATTTAAATCAGAAATATAAGCTGTTTTCCTGCAAATAGCAGATGTCACCTTTTCGCTGAAATCTAAATTAAGATTGAGAAGCTGCATGGTTTACATGAATACAATAATCTCAGAGACTCCACTTTAATATTGTGGAACTAGGCTGCTGCTAGGTTCTCCTCTGCAAAGTTTAGGTTTCTTAGGGTTTCTGTATCAAATCTGGTAACAAGATTCAGGGGGAAAAGTGCATTTTAAAGATTTTAAGTTTGAGAAATACTCCTACTGGCTTCTTTGCTAAGAGTTGGGTACGTAGTTTAGACACCACTCTGATGTCAGTTCAGTCTACATAGCACCTTTCAAAGTCACAAAGTGTGTTACGATGCAAGCATATAGCAAAAGCAAAAAGAATCAGGACGTAGGATGTAAACAAGATAAAATAATTTAAATTAATACAGAAATTGGGCGCCCCAGTAGCTGAACCGGATAACACGGCGACCCATGTACAGGGGCGATAGTCCCCGACGCAGCGGTCGCAGTTCGAGTCCAGCCAGCAGCTCATTTGCTGCATGTCTTTCCCCTACTCTTCTCCCCACGTTTCTCTGTCTCTCTTCACTTTTCTATCAATTAAAGGCAAAAAAGTCGCGAAAAAATAAAATAAAAAATTAAATACAGAAATTACATCTGATAAGAAAAAGTCAAATGATAAAAATAAGTTGAAAGAACAGATTAAAAAGATGCCTGAGATCCTCAGGCAGGGAGTTCTACAGCCAAGCGGCCCCGAGAGCAAAGGCCTGGTCACCTGACAAGTGGAGCATAAGAACCTTTAGTAAGGACTAAAAACGGGGAAACACAATGAGATGCAAAGCTAAAGTTCAATAAACAACATATCATGCCTCATTTTTAAATCTGAACATAAAACATGAGTGTAAAAACAAGGAAAGATTTCACAAAAAGTTGCTTTTTTTGGCAGCCTACGGTGACTTTTGTTCTCAGCTAGGCCAGCTGTTTACTCCTGTTTCTTGTCTTCGTATTAAGCTAATAGCACAGTACATACTAACTCTTGGCAGGGACTTTCCCAGAGTTTTTCAAATGACACACAGTGAGAATGTCTGGGTGTCCCTACCTGCTGATCCAGACGGTGGTGGCGCTCCAGCTTTCTGCCATTCGGTTGCCTCCATGGCCATACGCCTGACAAAGACGTCATCCACACACATCAGGATGTTCTCCGGCTTGATGTCCGTGTGGATGATTTTACACTTTGTGTGGAGGTAGTCCAGACCCTGCAGGACCTGCAAACACACAAACAGACCACACTTTATAACTAAAAAAACATGCTCATATTTCATGTACACAGTGAAAAAGATGCAAACACTCCCTCTTTCCCTATCCTAACATCTCCTCCTTTGTCTCTCCCATTCGTTTGTTTCTTTCTCTGAGCCAAATGACCCATTCTTCCAATGCTTGTCAGTGTCTGAGGGCAGAGAGGAGAGACTGTTGATGTTTTTTTTTTCACTGTTTCGTTCATTTGACTCTGTCTAGAGGTTTTGAGACTGAAGAAGAGAACAGCCTCATTTAATTTCTACTCATCTTCAGCTCAGCTTTGGAGAGGCGAGAGGCTGGCGGTGGCTGAGATGGCTCAACAACTTCACATGCTGATCAGGTGGCTAAAGAGAAAATGCCTCCAAGTCCCGCGTCAGTGAATAGCACTGGTACTAAAGTGTGAAGTGAACAATTGCATGTACTTATATTCATTGGCCTAAGTTTTTGCATGTGCATTTGTACATTATATTACTTTATTTAACCCAGCCTTTCACAGTCCACCTTTTGCAAGCACCATTTCAGATGTGGAAACGGAACAAGTTACATTTTCTTAACCTTCACCCCAAACTGATTCATGCATAGAAAAACTAGAAGTCTCCATAATACATATACACGCGTCATGATACATGAGGTTTGTTGTTGCTCATTAAGATGCTAGTAAACCAATGTCACTGCTTCATTGAGGATTAATACCGTGAACTACATGGCTGAGCTAGTGCTTGTCATTTCAACTAATTTGTAAAAGCTATACAGCTATAGTGATGTAAAATGCCTTCTCACACTGTTATTATATTCAGTGGCAGCTGGTTAAAAATTTTTGGTGGGGGGGCGCAGTCTGCAAATGACTTTTTTTTCTTTTTAAATCAGAAATTAGAATGAGTAACATCAGGCACAACTATTTACAGGAATGCTAATTGTCTACCTATGGAGGATATTCTAATCAAAATCTAATTCAACATTATCAAGACTGACCAGAACTAAATTTCAAAACCATTCATCAAACTTTCATCAATATTTACGGGATCTGTACAAACTCAAAACACACAACATAAATAATGAAGAAAAAAAAAAAAAAAAACACTATTCAGGACTCCAGACTAACTTTTTTACTGGTAGCACCAGTATGACCAACTTTCTCATTTTGTTGCACCTCCCACCTGGTCAAAGGCAAAACATATGACTTTCTGAACATTTTCTTATCGATAGACACTACAATTTACTGATGCTCCCTAAACGTCCCACACAGCAGGCTGTGATAGATGCTGTTGGTGGCTGTGGTGCTCAGAGAGGCGTGACCAAAAATGACTTTAAAAATAATGAACTAGGGTGTTCTCATGTCGGATTTGTCCGAGGATAAACCCAGTTACATGTATTATACACATGGTCTTTTCTACGAGCAGTCTTTTCTCCACTGACAGCATGGCCAATGTTAAAGCCGTCACAACAGTAGCTGTCATCTAGTAGCAGAGGAGGGGAAAGGCTGTGACGGTGTCAGAAAGCGCAGTCGTAAGAACGTCAAAGGACAGTTTTGATATCCAACCACACAAGACAAATGCAAATAAAGACTAAATTAATTGGCTTTCAGCAAAAGTGGGAGGGTCCGGGACGCACCAAGCTGCGCCCTGTGAGAAAGTCTGCAGCTACCAATCAGAGCCCAGGCCAAGGTCACATGATCACGAAAAGTTTTTCGAGCTACATACACACTCATGTGGCCAGCGCCCCGCATCCAGGAAGTGTAAAATTAGGAAACATGCAGTAAAGACTAACACTAAACCTGTTAATAATACAAATATTGTTAATATGGCAAAAGAACATGAATGTTATTAGTTTTATTATTATTTTGTCATAATTAATTCAAATTGAATTTTACGTTTGAGAACTACTTTTTGTCTGGTCATTAGTAGTGGGCTATTAACGAGCCGCCACTAATTACATTAGTGAGACATGTCAAAAGTTTGCTTTTGTTCAGTCAGTGATCAGAACAGAAATGCTAAAAGGAAAGATTAATATTTTTTCATGACTGATCTAAAAACACAGTGCTCATATGGACATTTTAACAGGTTTTGCTTGCCATAAACATTCCTCTTTATACCAGGCTAGTGATTTCAATTGAGGTGAAACATGATCAGCTTTTCAAGATTGCTGAATCAAATGGAGGCCTTGTAAAATATTACAAAATTCCTTGTTTGTGTGGTTCTCTCCCCACCAGAACTCAGCAACAGAAACACAGTCTGTAGCACGAGGACATCCGTTTTATAAAAATTGAAAATTAAAGCATCACATTTGCTAAGAATAAACTTTGGAATATGTTTTTGCACAGAATAACCACTGTGGATTTTGTCCCTTACCTCTTACAGAGTGAAGAGAAAGTTTATGTACTGGCATGTAAAAACGTTGATCTCTCCTTTAAGAAAAACAGCCGTGAACTTACTTGACCTGACCAAACAGTACAGTAGCATCAGTAAAACACCAGTTTAGCGCTCGAGATATGATACTGTTCTGTTCCATATGAAATACACAGAACTCTAGCGTCTACATATCTGAACCGCTGTGCATTTTCACAATCACCTCAACACGATGTGCATTCTTGACTGGAGAAGAGCTTTAGAACTCCATGCAGAAATGTAACCCAAAGCATTACTAATAAAAAATGTTATTTATGAATTCCAAGTTGAAAATATTTGCATTCATTATTCTAAGATTTGTTTTTTGCATTTGTGGCTCGATTCAGATAGCGCAGTGTAGAGACACAGGAAATGTGGAAAGAGCAGGGGAACGGTATGCAGGCCCGGTCAGGGATCAAACCAGGGACTCACTGCTGACGGCATTTGTTCCCATGTGGTGGGCCCTCTATCATCTATCGGGTCACCCCACATTTGCATTTACTGCACATAGTTTATTACTCCTATACTTGTAATTTTGAATCAAAGCAAATGTTTGAGGCTATAAATAATTGTATTTAATGCTGATCTTATGCTCTTTCTTTTACAATGTCACTGTTCTTTGTTGTTTGTAGTTTTATAGGTTTCATTTCCTTTCTGTGCTTGTGCCGTGTACTGATTGGACCCATACGATAGAAAATAAGCTACACGTTAGAAACGGACATATTTCACAGCAAACCACAGCACAAGTGAAACAAATTTAACTAACGAGTGCTTGGTTCCATCAAGCATCCCAGTGAGTCGGGACACTGAGCCAGCATGCACAATACCAGTTCGCTGAAACTAGCTCACCTAAAAGGAATCCAGATATATATATTTAATGCTATCAATTACACCTGCAGGGAAAGACCCCTGTGATCATACATTTGTCATCATCATTATCACTGTAGAATTTAATAGGGTGCAGCGTGCAAGTGAATTTATCCTGAGTGTTAAGATTAATTTTGTTCCTTGTTGAATTGCCATGGCTTCAACATAGTGATCCAGTTGTAAATGTTTACAATGTTAGGTGGCCCTCAAAAAACAAAGCTACGTCATGTTTAAATGTGGATAAAACATGCAAATGGTCACATCTGTAAATATGGGGGCCATTCAATTTGGGACATTTTTTATTTGACGCCTTGTTTTGCCTCTTGGGGAAATCTGTGTAACCATACAAACGCTGGATTGCAGTGGTCGGGTGTTCACTTCATCCAAATTTGTGTGTGTGTCCTTACTTGTCTGATAATGCTCTTGACACATGGCAGCGGCAGACCTTGGTAGTTGGATTTAATGATCCACTTCAGCAGGTGGTGACCCAGCACCTCAAACACCATACACACATCTGGGATGGGGGAGTCAAGGACTCACATTATCATATTTGTCACTCACACACACACACAGACACACACTTCTGATCAGGATACGTATGCCGTTGACTCCAGAGATCTTAAAGTCATCTATCAGCTGAACCACCATGTCTTTGTTGGGGTCGGTGGGGTCGCTCTCTCTTACCTGGAGGACAAGATGGACAATAAGATACAGTTAACGTGGTTGGAGGATAGGAAAGAAATAAGAAAACAGAACAGAGCAAAGAGGAAACGAGATGACTGAAGGAGGAAAAGATGTGGGTGAGGAAAAAGGAGCAGGAAAAGAAGCTGAAGAGGGAAAAGGACAAACAGAGATGGATGTGGGAGATAAAGATGTTGAAAAATTGATTGTAAGACGTCTGCCCTCTGCAGCCACCATGCAAGATATATGACCAGTGTATCTTTAGCGTTTGTTGTTAACAGAGAGACAGAGAAGAGGGAAATGTGAGGTGTCAAGAGGGGAGGTGTGGAAATGGAAAAGCAGGGACAGAGGAAGGGAAATTTGGGGAAAAGAGAAAGAAAAATATGAGGATGGATTAAATATGGAATAGAGAGATAGGACAATATAAAGTAAGAAAGGAAAGAGCAACAAAATGGAAAAGAACAAACAAAGGAAGACTTAGGAAAAATCCTGAACAGCGAAATGCCAAACTAATCAGATTCTCACACATCGCAGCAGTTTGATCTCATCAAGGGCCGTCTCCGTGTAATGCTGGGCGCTCTTCACCACCTTCATCGCCACAAAGTTCTTCACTCTGTGCACACAAATTAAGCACATCATTTCATGTTATACTGACTCACACACCAACAGGTTGTTAAAGCTGTCAATGCTGATTAATGCAGCCGTGTGAAGAGATGTGAAAACAGGAATTACCACGGGAACCAGTCTTAACTAGCAATGACAGGCCGAGCTTCGCTGGCTGTCGTTCACACTGCCCACACTGCCGCTGGAAACGCATATGTACGAGCTGTTTGGCATTTTATTACAAAGAAATTATCTTAACGTTACGAAATGGGACACCGCTGACACATGTCTTTGTCCCACACATACACACTTTAAAATTGTCTGATACCATGAAGCATATTTATTATTATATTGTAACCCTGTCCGTTAGTGTTGGGTTCATGTTATACTTCAACAGGGTTTTTCTTTTTGACATGATTTCAGTGCTCTCCAGGTTACTACACTGGCTATTGAGAAAACTATAGGTCGTGCTGATTTGTTTTTCGTTTTCTTTTACAGCTATTGTAAGGACAGCTGAGGAGATGGCATGTAGACAGCCATACGCTCTACCTACTAGTTAGTTAACTGATCAACGAGCCGATCTACTAAAAATGGTCATCATGTGCATCTGTGGAAAATATTTTTTTTGTTTTGGACTGTTAATCGGACAAAACAAAAAATGAGAATACTTTATTTGGGGATTTGGGAAATTGAGAAAGATAATTTTATATATTTGGACAATTTATAGACTGATAAATAAGAATCAAAAGACTGTTCAAAAATAAAAACATTTGCTAGCTGTAAACTGAAATAGAAAACCATTTATATTTTTGCTTTGTTAAAAAAAAGAAATGGGAACATCTGTCAACAATGTGCATTTTTAAATTTTGTGCAAACAACATAGATATAATATAAGTCAAAGATCAATATAAGACGTAAGGACAGTACATCAACAAGTAATGCTGAACAGTTATTCAAAATATATATGGCCAAGTCTGATATGCAAAGGTAAAATGTGTCACAACAGTATACTATAAATGAAGCATTGTGGAACTACCTGACCTACAAATGAAATTCCCCAGATGTAAGGGAACATGTTTGTTTAGTACAGATCACAGCAAAAATCACATCATTATTTTTAGATTTGACTCTAAAGAAAAGAAATGCAGAAACAACAATTCTCTCATATCACAATATCTGTCAAAATAATCAAAATGATCTTTTCATTCAGCCCTAACCCTAACCCCCCAGCTGCAAACATCACACCCTCAGTCTCTGATTGTTATCTCAGGAGACTTTAATCATCACTCTCCCCACATTCAGCCAGTATGTGGACTGCCCAACCGGAGACGGTGTGGCCTTTGACTTGCTGTGCAGACACCGGAATGGATATTACTTAATTATTGTTATTTTCTTGTACTTTCTATATTTTTGGATGCTGCTGTGGTGTGTAAATTTCCCCCAGTGAGGGATCATTAAGTATTCTATTCTATTCTCTTCTATTCTATTCAATTATATTCTTGATAGAATAGAATAGAATAGAATAGAATAGAATAGAATAGAATAGAATAGAATAGAATAGAATACTTTATTTATCCCAGACCTGAGAAATTATTTTGTTACAGCAGCAAAAAAAAACATAAAAAAAAAAACCAAATCACAACAAGTTAGAAAATATAGTAAATTAAGTCTATAAAAATAGAATAATAGACAAAGGGCTAAAGTGAACACACTGTGGCAGACTATGAGCAGAATGACTATATCAAAACTATAACTTCAACAGAAAAGTGCAAGTTGAGTTACTGTGCAGGTTGTATGAAATGAAATAATACAATGAGAATGAAAAATAAATAACGGGCTCAATACTATTAACCAAATACTATTTAAAAGTGCAGCAACCTCAAAATTAAATACAATGAAGAGATCAAGTAACCAGTTAAATACTGTTTAAAAAAAAAATTAATTGCACAAAATGTGTTCATTAACAAACGATGAGAGCTGCTGCAACATGCTGCCACTCAGTGCGGCGCCGGAAGCTGGTGTGTGTGTGTATATATATATATTTATATAAGAATGCATAAAAAGCTATTCGAGGAACAATGTAAATGTAGGACAGTAGTGAAGACTGACAACTAACTGAAAGAAAAGAAAGGAGAGAAGAAGAAGCCAAAGAAATCCAAAAAAGCAGAGTGAGAAAATTAACAATGAATCCTCCTGTGACGAGGTATTACAAGAGACCACGTACGTCTGAATAGTGACATGGTGAAGACAACAAAGAGCCAGTTTTTTTGTCACAGATTGTGACTAAGTGTACAGTGTGCCTACAGTAACCCAACTCTAACTTGCTAGGATATGATCACCATTAGTGTAATTAACACCAGCGCCATGAGTAAATGAGTTTGTGTGTGTGTGTGAGTCAGTGAAAGGTGACACTGGGTTGATGATACCGTCATCCATCCACCCTGGTTGCCACATGAACACAGCAAACAACATCGCAGTGCAAATGGATGGCTTCGGTGCCAGTGCAGGGTGGTGTTATTTGCAGCTGTCATCGCGGTGACGTGCCAGATCCTGTCAACAAGTGCATGTGCGGTGCGGGTGGTTTATGTGATGTGTGCGCACGAGAGCAAGGTGAAGTAAAGGACTGCAGCAGGAGCCTTTATATGCAGTATCCTCGTATCAGACCGGCCGTACTGAGTGTCTGAGTGCTTTTTCTGGGTCGTGACGTGTTTGTGGCGAGCATGTGTACATCTTTAATGTTTACACACGTGAGAGAAACATGAAGCGGAATCTGAAAGCTTACACTGTACTACAACGTCTGTGTGTGCATCTGTGTGTGTGTGTGTGCGTGACTCACTGTATGTCCCAGCACAGCCATACGGTGGAGAAGTGGCCCCACCCCAACTTCCTGATCACATGGTACCTCCCGTTGAACAAATCCCCGATCTTCACCGGATGGTACCCTCCTGAGAGAGATAAAGAGAGAGAAGATGAAGGTTACAGGCGTGATAACTCGGCAATGACATGAAATCCATTAGTGAGTAGGAAGTGGAGGTAGACCGGCAGCAGAAAGAGAGAGAGGTCAAAGAGACAGTATATAAGACGGCAGACTGTTGTGGGAAGGCGCAGTAAAAAGAAAAAAAAGAACAAATGTCTAGACGAAAATAGCATCTCGTGAAGTTTTATAGAATAATACAGTAAGGAGAGAAGTAAAAACTGTATTGAATTCTCCATTTTAGACATATGAAATGAAGACATTGAACTAAAGAGTTGATTCTTTAATATTTCCAGTTCTACACTTGTTATGTACATCTACGGTTTTGTTTGTTTGTTGGTTTTAATTATTCTTTTCAACCACAATTCAAAAGCAATGTTTTATTTCACTCAATTAAAATGTAAGTTTTATTTATTATTACTTTTTTTCAGTTTCTAGTTATTTGAGTGACTATTGTGAATTTTGCCTTTTCTTTAATGGAAGGGTATGAATACATTTGAGGACGATTGTATATAATGGAAGCTGTAATAAATCCTTCCTTCTTGAAGATTAAAATGGGCAATTTTTGTTGACACTGTCTTAGACAAGTGTTAAATCAACAGTTTCATTACTTTTGAGCATGTAGTTTGTAAAAATGCTAATGTTTGCTTTTTATTTATGATTTAATTTAATCGAAAACAAACATTCATGCTAATAAGGCAGAAGACAAACAGCGTTCAGCTTGACTGTCAGGAAATGTATTATAGATTTGGTGTACTGTAATGAGATGGAGTTACAGGTGTGTATGCTGACCTCCTGTCTGGTGGCTGTCTGGTTTAGCTAGCTACCTGCGGCTCTCACCGACTCTAAACTAGGATTTTTAAATGCTAACAGAGCTGAGCGTTTGTCAGAGGAGTGTCTGTCAGCGTATTGTGCCTCTGGCGTAGGCCCTAATGGTGCTGAGGTTCAGGAGCAGCAGGACGACGATGACATGCTTCCAATAACATTCAAACTAAAGTGACAAAGTGTGTCAGCAACACTCTGTTCTGAGCATAAATAGAGGTGGTAGTCAATATGGACAGATTTGTGACTGATAAAGTTGCTGCAACAGTCCGGTATAACTACAGTAAACAAGTCACTCCATCATGCAGATCAGGTATGAGGATGATTTTGAAATCGATCCACTGTGATGACTGCAGCTCGTTTGCTGTGTTTAATACTTTGGATTTTTTCTGGCCTATCACTGAATAGCAATTGTAATCGAAGTTGTTATTTTTTATTATTTAAATTATGACTTAGTAACTTGCTCTTTACTTTATCTGTTATTCAGATTCTTGATGTAAACGAGACAATTTGTAGCAAACACTGCCAGTGATTGGAAACGGTTTCATAAGCTGAAGGAGAAATGTCTGTGTATTACATGCATTTTAACAATTAATCGATTATTGATTGTTACCTTGGCAACCTACTGGTTAAGATTTGCCTCCCTGGTAGTTTGTGGTGCTGTTAAAATGTAATGCATCACTCAGAAATGTGTTTCTGAAGATTTATTTATTGCAGGGATGTCTAACTGTATTGCTTTCACTTTAGGACAACTATGAAAATGAATATCCATCCATCCATTATCAATACACCGCTTAATCCTCGCTAGGGTCGTGGGGGGCTGGAGTCTATCCCAGCTGATTTAGGGCAAAGGCATGGGACACCCTGGACAGGTCGCCAGTTTATCACAGGGCTACACAGAGATAGACAACCAAGCACACTCACATTCACACCTATGGACAATTTAGAATCACCAATTAACCTCAACATGTTTTTGGACCTTGTGGAAGGAAGCCGGAGAACCTCTAGAGAACCCACGCTGCATGGGGAGAACATGCAAACTCCACGCAGAAAGATCCCGGGTGTCCTCTCTGGGACGCAAACTGGCGACCTTCTTGCAGCGAGGCAACAGTGCTAACCACTGCACCACCTTGCACCTTGAATATGAATATGAATATGCAAATGCGTGGAAGTTGCCACCTATATTTATAATTTGTTCAGTTAGTAAGTCATTGCCCAGTCAGTCAAGTGAAAATGCCAAATATTTGCTGACCGCAGACGCCAAAATATAAGGGTTTGTATATAAGGAGCAAAGTCATGCGCAATTTCATTATACATTGTAAAATTCCAATAAAACAGATTCTGATTCTGATTTATTTCTTTTTCTTTATCTTGTCCTACAGTTAACCAAATATATTTGTCCTTGTTACTGTCACACCAAATAACATATCTGAACCCATCACATTTGATTTTGAGAAATGTGTTGCATTATTTTCTGACATTTAATAGGACAACATTTGATCAAGAAAACAATCTGCAGATTATTAACTCTATGATTTGTGACAGCATTACACATGCGTAGCAGGTAGCAGATGGAGAATCTTTTCTTTTTTTACATGTTGAAATTTTTGTACATAGTGTGCCTCCAATGTAGAGACTAAGAAACATGAATGCAGTGTATTGACAGGGATAAACCCTACTTAATAGCTTTTCTTCATTCATTAGGCATCCATTTATACTCAGCTTTAACTAATTCAACATTGTTTGAAAGCACAAAGCCTCAGGATGCTGTTTATGTGAAGCATTTGAACGTCACACTGATAACAGTAACAGCAGTACATACAAAGCAGGACAATAAAATAAAAAATGTGCAAGAAAAACAAACACACTTGTGCATCTTGATTTATAATCGCTTACAGTAACGTGGGATTTATGATTGTAACCTTCAAAAGCTTTCAAGCAGCATTGTGCAGCAGCATATAGAAACAACAGAGGTTGCTACTACTAGTCATGAAAATATAAGTTCAGCACGATATATAAACTTTGCCTTAAAGGGTTACAAAGTGTGCTATGGGTGTTATAAATTTCTTAAAATGTTCAGAATAGGATAAAAGAGCCAATACATGAAGAGAAGAGAATCACTTGTTTTGAACAGTAAGTGAATGAAAAGAAGCCAAAATACATAACAGAGATATGATCTGTTCTCTTTTCTTTTTAGTGTTTCATCTCACTGAAGTGAGATCTGACAGTCTGGGTGTTTTTCTTACAATACACTGTCAAAATCAAGACTTTTCTCACACAAAAAATACAAACCATCTGGAAAGAGAGATTCTTTGTGATGTTCATGGCGTATGATCAAAGTGCATTACTGTACATTGATTATAGCAACCAACATTTTAGTATATGTACTGCATGTTGTAAGTGTAATGATTTCCAGTAGTTACAGAAGAGTGCACCATTTTGAAATGTGGTTGTGCTGTAAGGAAAGTGTTGAATGCCGTTATTATCCTGAGCGACTGCAGGAAACTAGGCTGTTGCTCCATTCTGGCAACAACCAAACAACCTTGAAACGCTTCTGACACACTAATGGCTATACCGACACTGCTGCAAATTCCGTCAGGACGGAGGGAGAAACGAGGGAGGAAGAAGAGCAAATACAGACAGAAGCAGGGAAAGAGTCAACGTGGGACAGGGCGGCCATTGTTGAGCTTCGTACGACAGATGTAGAGGGTGGAAGTAATGGGCTGGGACAGATGAATTCAGTGTGTTTGTGTGTCTGTCTGTCTGTGCAGCCATTCTGACCTTTGCAGTAGTCCGCGGGGTCCTCCTGCTCCTCATCGTCGGAGCCCAGGATCTCCTCCTCCGGCTCTGGGGGCCCTGCCGGCTCAGGGGGAGGTGGAGGGGGCGGTGGGGGAGGAGGGGCAGTCACCGGGGCTTTCTGCTGGGTCTCAGGCCTGTGAACATGACAGTGGGCCAAAAGTTAGGTAACTTCTGACTGGGAATCAGCCTCCTGCCGGAGCATTTTACTTCCACGTTTTTTTGGTGTTTCTCGCTGTGACTCACAGCAAGTGCAACTGCACACTGGGCTTTAAGTGCGGATGACTAATATCAAATAATAACTTGTGACATTTTCACATATATAAATGTCAGCTCTTGAAGTGTGTGTGGTTGAATGGCATCAGTCTTGAGTTAATGAAATCTTTTACATTTGTTGTTTCGCGCACACTGTGTCAGACAGGTCTGTCCTGGAGGGAAGAAAAGGCTCAGGGAGTGACGTACATCTGTGTTTGAAATAAATAAAAGGAGAAGTGCAGCTGGCACGATCATCAATAGTCAGTGCTTCGAAACAAATAAAGAATAAGGTACCGTCTGCAGTGACTCATGTTTAATCAACAGAACTTGTATTAAAAGAGAGACAAACTCAGAAGCAATATAAAGCACTTAAGCTCTGGTCAAGGATAGGGAATGTGAAAACAGACAAGAAAAAACTAAACAAAAACACACACTCGTAAAACCAAACTAACTAAATATTCACTGTAACGTTTGCTGCCGGTACAGATACAAGCCCACTGAAATAATACACTTAAATCAGTTTATTATGAGTAGGTCCACGCATCAATAGTGTATAATTTTTTATTTATTTGTTGGCATACAGCAAACGCTTCATTCATTTTTACCACGATAAAATAAAAACATAATGTCTGAAAAGTGCAGTACTTAAGACTTAAGCAAAACAAGGAACTAAGTACTGTTACAGCAATTTCCAGGGCTCCCGCTTACTTTTTACACTGACTGCACTAGTGTGCCTTACTTTTTCATTTAGGTGCACTGACAGGCATAATTCAGGTGCACCCAAAAATTTTCATAGTACCTTCTGGCACATTTTAACGGTAAGGTTTTGTTTCAGCTCCTACACACATTGATAACTGCTGAAAACATATTGCAAATGATTGAACAGGAATAAAATGTTTTGTACATTTAACCTGTAGCTAAACCACGTAGCTTTTCTTTGTTTGGAATCTGGACTCCTCGCTGCTTCGATTTGCTGCCGCCTGGTGCTAAAACATTGCAGGGTGAGCAGCCAGTCATGCACAGCACAGGACAACTTTTTGGAAGCATTGGGTTTTTTTGTTTTTTTTTAAACATTTCTATTCGGAACACTAACGCAAAAGCACTGTTCCCTGTCACACTTCAGCTGCACTCCCTGAAATAAATGCAATGCCTAATATTGGCTGTTTTATCATATCTCAGTCATTCCCACAGGTTGAGAATTTACTTGTGGTGGGTGGCGCAGTGTGACGGATGTGCATGCACTCGTGCAGTTTAGAGGCGACAGTGTAACCCAGGGTGTTATCTCAAGCTACAAAACACATGTCACATAAACAAATTACATGCATCACTGAACACTAGAATATGCCAGTGTTCCCTAAATGCCACATATTTGTCAGTAGACGCTACAAGGCGGTTAGGCACAGAGAAGCCTCTAGTTAATAATTACTGCACTATTATGTCAGTGTATAAATCTAATAATGGTCTAATGTTGCAGGTTTAAAATAATAAAAACAAAAAAATGTCACATGGGTTTTGGCTGTGATAGAAAACTTGCTGTCTTTAGAGATGAAGATTATACGCCTAACGTGGGACATTTGTTATAAGGCAATTAAATGGAGTGACCATAAAGAATAACACGGAATTATCACCCAGTCCAAAACATAGCTGCAGTTGCTTGATGGACTGGTATTATTTTTATAGCCCAGAGACAGTCAGGTTGAAGCGATCCACACCCACCCAATACCTCAGACATGAATCAGCAGAAAAAGTGGATACCATCCAAAATCAGAGAGGAGAAAAAAAAAAAAAAACGGCTATTCTCAGTTCTGGAAAAATGTAGTGAAATGTAAAAACAATCAATAGATCAGACAAAGTTTGCTTTTCGGGGTCTATTTCCACAGTCGGTCCTTTCAGTTAGCAACCTTGTTCTACTTCCTTTCCCTTGTCTAAAACGGAACTGAGCCCATGAGAGGGAAAATACCAACTAGGCTGCAGAGCACAGACGCACTCTTTCTCCTGGCCTGGCCACAATTTGAGCATTTAGCTGGCACTCTTATTCAGGGCGACGTACAATGATTGATCAGGCAGGGGGTTCAGCGGTTTGCTCCAGGAGGCTGCCATGGCACACACGGCTATTTATGTGGATTTTGGGAACATGCCTGTAACGATTCTGTTTTGGGACAGTCCCATCAAACCCTCTACACCAACCTGCCACTTTGCTGCTTGTTTCAAGTCTTTGCAAACAATCATATAGCTCTTAAGACTGACCACATTTTATGTAGTTCTTCTATTCTGGTATAATTAGCGCACAGTCCATCACTATGCTGGGACTGAGCATTTAACTTACTCCAACTTCAGAAAACACACAGAAGTGCAAAACAAACAGTTTAAAAAGAATTACTTATTTACACATATAAACCATCTTTCATTTGGAATTACACTTGCAGCCACTTCATGTATGTAAGTTCAACATTTCTTCTCAGTTTTGGGCTTTAAGCAACTCCTGGTGGAAATGTTTTGCTCTTAAGCAGTTAAATTTTCCATGCTGTTGTTGTTTGGTGCTGGGCAGGTAGAGTGCAGTTGGTTGCTGGAGCTTTCTCAGTTAAAACTGCTGCTTGCTATGGCCAAAAGTGACAGAGCAGTGACAATGAACCAGAACAGCGAAGTTGAGGGTTGGACAGCTAAACAAAGAACTGGAACTATCGTGCTTTGTGAAGCCAAGGGGAGCTGGATCTTCAGGTGATCATTTTCTGTAGGTTTGTCACAGAACCCTTTTCACAGCTAAAACATTATCACTATAAACAGCATTAACTTTCTACAGTTATATTAATATTTTCTCTCAGCAGAGTTAACCCACGATCTTATATAAAAGTAATGTATAAATATACACATTTATATAGCAATGTGTCAACTCAGTATCCTCTAAAAATGCATGTGATGTGCTTTCATTAGCTTCACATTTATCAGTGCAGACAATCAGTCCCAACATTTCCTCGTCATGAATTTTCACCTTAACCCTATTCAGGACTTTCATGTTGCCATATGTAGGTCTTTCAGGGTCCATTGGACCCCAAGAAAGAATGTGCAAAATATTTGTTGGTATTCATTATAAACGTTTATACTATGTTAAAAAAAAAAAATCTGATAAGTTGATGTATTGTTGGTTCCAAACGCATGACAAATGTTCCTCTTTTTATATTTAAAAAAAATAAAAATCTTCAAAAAACAAAAAACAATACCTGTCACCTAAACAGAATGGCCTGGGGTCCAAAAGTCCTGAATAGGGTTAGAAACCTCTGTGTTTCAATAATGTGCGCGTAGGAATGACGTTGGCAACAAAGCAGAGGTTAAGAGAGGTCGACAAATACTTTTTTTTTTTTTTTACTCAGCATCACCTCGTAACACTGGCAACATGATCAAATGCTAAATTAGGACCAGGAAAAAAAACAAACAAACATAAACACATAAGCACACAAAGCCAGAGCTTGTGAGCTGTTATAAAATTGCGGTCACAGACGCAGACACATGATGGAGCCTCTTGGTGCGTTGCCATGGCAACTGCAGGGCAAGGGGGGGGTGTGCTGGGGTGGCGATGGTGGTAGGGGATCCGGGACTCCGAGCATTAACGTGGTGGCAAGCTCAACACACACACACAATGCAGCTGCTAAGGGAGGCAGATAACTTGGCATTGAGATTTGATTGCTGTTTTACAACACACACACACACACACACACACACACACACACACACACACACACACACACACACACACACACACAGAGGCAGTCAAGGGCTGTGTCCTTGGAGCAGGATGCTACTTCTTTACCAAAGCAGTCACGTAGGGTGTCATACATCACATCTATAAGCTCAGTGCTTTTATACGGCTCATCTTGCCATTGGCTGTACGAACACTTAGCCTCTCGTAACTTTCTGGACCCAAGCCGAGCAGTAAAAACATTAAGATAGCACAGACGCCGCAGTCTGAAAGGCGGACAGAGGAGATACGGTGACAGAATAAAAAGGAACCGAGCAGGGGAACAGACAGAAAATTGATAGAAAGTGATATAGATGAAGAGAAACAAGGCAGGGGAAGACTAAGAATAAGAGAGGCAAGAGGGGAAAAAATGAAAAGAGAAAAGTCTATTCACATGAAATCAACAGCTAAAGAGAGAGGCATAAACAGCAAAAGGTAAACTGACAGTGGGACAGACAAACACATAATATCCAGGCAAAAACCGAAGACGGATACAGAGAGACAGATAACAGACAGACAGAAAAAGAAAGAGTTCAGGAGTCAGAGACAAATACAGTACACAGAGCGAGAGAAGCAGACAAAACACGAGCAGAGTCAGAAAAAAACTGAGGCAGAAAGAGAGTAATAGGCTGACAAGCAGAGAGACCAGTCAGAACAAAATGGAGACACAAACAGAGAAAAACAGAGGCAGGAAAAACCGAAAGAGAGAAGAAGGCAGCCAGAGGAAAGACAGAACAAAAAGCTCTAGGAATGAATTTATCCACACCGATGCATACAGCACACTGTACACCCTCGATTGCACTGAAAATCAGGAGCAGGCGAAGAATGAAAGCATTACTGCTGAGCAAGGGGGAAACTCCGCTTTTAGCAAACATGAGGCTCTAAATAAGCTCGTCCTCCAACACCAAAGAGAAAAAGGTGATGAACTAAGGTCACTGCATTTAAACATACGCCATGGCATTTGTTGACTTAACAAACTGACCCACTGATACACTGTAGATTATATTCCTTGCTTTCATTTCAATATTTGTTTACTTTGTCAGACTTTTCCCTGTGTGCTCTGAAAATGCAATTCGAAGAGTTTCTTTTGTTATTGCTGCATATTTTATAATATTTTCTTATATTTAATTATGAATATTTAAAAAATAA